CATGGGGAATAAAGCTAGAACCAGTTCCCCTTGGGTAACAAGGGGCAACTCTGTTTGGTGTACTAGAGGAGAATGAAGGTTATGGAGGGGAAATAAGCAGGTTAGGATGCGGATAGAGTGACCAGATTTGGCAGATACAGAGTACTTGGTTGAATTTAGATAATGATCAGTTTTTAAGCATGTCTCCAGTATTGCACAGGATTTATTTATATCCTGAAAATTTCTATTTGCAGGTTTCATTTGCCAGGCCCTTAAGCATACTTCATTTTGATCTCCAGGTATGGGGAATGGGGTTGTGGTGGTACAGTTTGAGAGGGTTCATCGGGATCAGAGGTCTCACTTAAAGGCCTTGAAGGGAGTGAAGGTACCAGTCCTACAGAAAAGTACGGCAGAGGTACTGCAGGTGAGCACAAGGTGTGCCAGGAATGTCGGAGCACTACTTAGGGCAGAGTATGGAGGAGTGACCTCAGAACGGTCATGGAAAGGTAGGGGAAGTGTGTGTCTTGTGGACTACATTATTTTGACCTTTACCTTCAGTGAAAGGGGACTCGGCAGATTTCAAGCAGAAGAGGAAGATAATGCAGCACTTGGGAAGGGTTAGTCTGGCCACCACGTTGAGAACAGATGGGAGGGTGGCTGTGGTGGCAGGAGCAAGACAGGATGGACGCTTGTGCATCCTCTGGGTGAACATGCTGCTGACCGCGGCCAGGGAGAGTGGCAGAGGTGATAAGTGTTTTGATTCTAGATAGATTTTAAAGCTAGGGCCAGTAGGGCTGTATCAATCCATTGAACATGGGGCCAGGAAAAGAAAAGTGATTATTTTTTAATCTTTTATTAGTGCATGTTTTCTGTACATAAGGATTGTATTCATTATGGAGAGTTGACACAAGTACACATACTTAATGTTTTTACACCCCCTCCTTTCCCTCCCCTTGACTTAAAAGTTTTGGTATCTTGACTCTTAAAAGTTTGGGAATTCTCAAAGAGGTTGGTAGGAATAGGATTTGGGGGAAGGAGAGGATAGATGGAGAAGTGGGGCAAAACTATTGACACCTTGGTCTGCAGTCTGTTTGAGATGTTTACACATTTGTTCTGGTTGTTTAATACAGAACTCAGTGGCATAGAACAGACATTTTATCCTGCTTGAGGATTCTGTAAATCAGGAATTTGGCTTATCCCAGCTCATATTTGGGTTTTGAGCTGGGAAGAATTCCAGTGACTGAGGCTAGACTGACTTTGAAGGGTGGTCTCTGTGTGCTGGGCTTTGAGTGACACTGGTCCCTGGCTCTTCAAAATTGAATGTTAAAAAGGTTGTTCTGAGAGCCAAATAGGAAGTGCATGATCTTTTCTGACCTGCCTCCAAGTCATGCCACATGCTGTTCACTGCAAATGAATTATACAAGCCAGTTCTGATTCTAGGGAAGGTGATCTTAGTGGGCCCCGCCAAGGGCCAGGTGGGATGAGACATCGAAGCCGGCATCATCAGAAAAATGGAGTCTGCAAGAGCATCAAGAGGGAAAGTCAGTTTCTACATACATGTGTGAATTTGGAGTGGGGGGGGCGTGGTCTATGCACATAATTATCCTATGGATGCCATTTAAACCCATGTGATTAGTTGAGGTCTTGATAGGAATTAGTATAGACTGAGAAAAGCTCCAAGAGCCAAACCTTGGGTACCTACAACAGTGTTCAAAAATCAGAGAAGGGAGGTAGAACGAGCCAAAGAGCCAGAAGAGCCGGTAAGCCAGGAAGAAAGCATCATGTCTGGAATCACAGTCCAGGCCTTTGAGGGACAAGTGGCTAGTGGGTCAAGGTTGATTGGGGCAGAATCAGCCATTGTGTTGAGCAGTGAAGGCCCTGATGACCGCATGAGCAGTCCCAGTGTGTCTCTGAGCTAGAGCCATGCAAGGCCAGTCACACTGAATTGCAAGGCCGAGCAGGTTACGCGTGGGGGAGAGGAGTGGGAAATAAGCGTGACCAGTGCATTCAGGAGATTTGGTTATAAAGGGAAGAGGGACAGTGGCACCTGGAAGAGAAGTAGGGGAAATAAGAGCATGTTTTAATGATCCACGGAATGGTAGCTTTTCATCACTGTGACAGAATCCCTGAGGTAAGTGATCTAAAGGAGGAAAGGTTCCTGAAGTTTCAGCCTTGGCTGGCTGGCTGCATTGCTGCGAGCCCAAGGGGAGGGAGACTCTCCTTGGTGGAAAGCTGTAGTGGAGCAGAACTGCTCACCTCATGGTAGTTGGGAAGCAGAGAGAGGGAAAGGCTCAGAGGGCAAGACGTGCTCTTCAAAAGGCAGCCCCTTGGGATGCACCATCCACCCCCCCCAACTTTTGGCCCCTCCCCGTAGCACCACCGGCTGGAGGGAGGCCTTCAGCACAGAGCCTTTGGAGGACACTGGAGGTCCAAACCGTGCCAGGTGGCTGGAGGAATGGACGTATGGGGAGTGGTAAGTTGAGGAGCGACATCTGAGCTGGTGGTTTGGGGTTGGTCTTTAAGGGAAGTGTGCATAGGAATACGCAATGGGAGATGTGAGGTGGAATTTGGTTCTCTTGATTCATCTCTCCCGCTGAAGTGAAGATAAGCTGCTGGTACATTGCCTGTTAGATGGCTTCTGAACTGGGAATTCTTTCTTTCTTTCTTTTTTTTTTTTTTTTTTTTTTTTTTTTTGTCAATACCAGGGATCGAACTCATGACTGCCTGTTTGCAAGGCAGGCAGTTATGCTGCTGAGCTAAATCCCCAGCCCCAAGATGGCTTTTGAAATTAAATGAGTTTATTCTGCTGAAGAACTCAGAACAGCCAGTGGCATGTATTGAGCACCCAGAGCCATAGCAGTTAGTAGCTCTTGTGTGTTCCCAAATTCCACTATGTGGGATAGCGTTGGCTCATCCCGTTTTTGTTTCTGTTTTTCTGAAACAAATGTTAGAAAAAGAGGTGGTACAAACATTCCCTGACTGATAACGATTTGACTTACTGTTTTTTTTTTTTTTTTTTTTTTTTTTAATCGGTACCAGGGATCAAACTTACGACCGCCTGCTTGCAAGGCAGGTGCTTATGCCGCTGAGCTAAATCCCCAGCCCCTGACTTACTGTTTTTAACCTTATGATGGTGCAAAAGCAACATTTAGTAGAAACCATGCCTGGGATTTTAAATTTGGATATTTTCCTGAGCTAGAGCCATGCAAGGCCAGTCTTCCCGCAAGGTACTGGGCGACACCAGTGTCCGCAGCTCTCAGGCAGCCCGGTGGTCACAAGGAGAAGCCCAGTGCTGTGCTGCCAGGCTGGGGTGTTGGCTAAGTTAGAGGCTTAGATATGTTTCCACTTAGGTCACTTTAATCTGTGATGGTTTATCTAGATGAGTTACCACGGCAGGAGCTGAGCAGCTAGATAGGTGTATTTCAGATACAAAGTTAATACATTAAGATTAAGCCCCTTGGGGCTGGGGATTTAGTTTAGCAGCATAAGCACCTGCCTTGCAAGCATGCAGTTGTGAGTTTGATCCCCGGTACTGATTTAAAAAAAAAGATTAAACCCCTCCCCACGTACAATGGAGCTATGAGAAACTGTAATATTTTTTAAAACTAATTTTTAACATAAATCAACACATAGAAGCATGCATATAAATCTAGAGCTCTAGAGTGTAATCTCTCACAGTGAGCATACTTGTATACCATTATCCGGATCAAGAGATAGAAGACAAGTGTACCCAGTTGGGATTGTGGGTTCATTTCTTCCTTGTTCTTTCTCCTTGTTCCTAGTTCACAGCATAGAAAGCTGGCTGTCCCTGTGCTGGAACCTGATGTTATTTCAGTGTTTCTTGTCTTGTGAAACACAGAATGGTAACACGTCTAATACCGAGGAGCCTGTAAGTCTTACCATGCTGTCCTTTTGCTAGAGTGGGAAAAATAATTCCCCAAAGTACTGTAAGTTTCCAGTCATGAGAAAACTTCGAAAGTATGATGCGACACTCATTCTTCAAGCGTGCTTCAAATATTTGCCCAAATAAATCACCACCACCCCGCCTTTTTTTTTTTTTTTGGAGACTGTTCCACTAGGCAGTTGAGGCTGCTCTTGAGCTCACCATGAGCTGAGGCTGGCCTCGAACTTGCAGCAATTCTCTGCCTCAGCCTCCTGAGTGCTGGGATTGTAGGCACACGCCAACACACCTGGCCTGAGTGACTATTCTTATGTTACAAAACCAGTATTTTAAAAGGATTGGAGATCTCTGAAGATTAAAAACAAACAAAAAAACTGCCCTCAGTTAAATACAAAACTTACTGAGATTCGGCATTTATCCCTTCTCATCTTTGATCTCGAGAAAGCACGCCCAATTTTCTCCTGCATGTTTCTCTCATCTAACTCCTTTTGATGTTATCAGAAAATACATTTAATCTTTGCCACAAGGCAGAGAAGCGATCAGGCAGAAAATGGCTGATCAGGCTGCAAAGTCAGGGTATTGGCTACTTCAACTCTCACAGTTACTGCCTGAGTTATTTCTCTTCGTAAGTCAAAACCACATGAAGACTCCTTAGTGGAAGCACTTCTCGTAGGGAAATTCTTCTGGTTTATGCTTTTTCCTCTAATACACATGTGCACGCATACTCATACCCCGTAACTGTAGTTGTTTATCAGTTGGAAATGATGTTTACGGCAAAGTGCCTCTCTTCAGTCAGGTGGAGGTGGCACCTCCACCTGCGTGTGCCTCATTTGTTTCATGATCTCATTCATTTCAGGGCTTGGTTTTCTGGGCAGTCTCCTCGTTTCACTTTTATTTACAGTTTTTGTTTACTTTATTAACAGTGGATTGCTTAGAACAGCCGCTGTGTAGTACTGCTGGGAAGCTCTGTGCCCTTCTTTATGAGTACTTGCCTCATTTTTTGTGTGTGCAGTGCTTAATAATTGGTAGTTAATGCGATCTCTCAGAATATCCATCCTCCCCCCTCCCAGAGACATTTGTGACCCGTTGTTTTCACAAACCAAATCAAGGAGAAAATACATAATGTTTTGGAAGTTAAGTTTAATATATGAAGATAGTATATGAAATACATTCATCATGATTAGGAGTGTATGACCAAATCATGTCTTATATCTGTAGCATATATTCTCAATTTATATAAAAGTAACTTTAAAATTCCAGTTTCCTTAAATAGTTACGCACAGAACACACAAACACATACACATATACACATAGCTCCTACCACTGTCAGAGATGCACTCCTGTAATCAACTGAGATGGGGGCGGTAAGAATCTGTTTAGTGTTTAACATTCTTACAGGCTGGGAAACACGGCATTTGCTCAAAAATATGAGTGGCATTTTTCAGGATTTGGACACATTTGTCCCCTTGGCTAAAACTCATGTCTGAGCATCATTTCTTGGGCTAACTACGTACAGATTTGTAATAATACTTCAGTCCCAGTGCATCCACACAGTTCCACATAGGTTACCGCACAGACCCAAGAAGGAGATGCCTGTCCTCTGTTAGGGCTGACCATTTATCTCATAAATGGCAAGTGGTTCTAACATTACCATCAGTTAGTGTTTTAATTTTCAGTGCTGCTTTAATGCCTCTGCAGTTGAATTCATTACTATAAGCTTCCATTTTTCTATGTTAACGCTCCAATGGGGCCATTTTTTAATTTTTGCAAATGGGTTTAAGTAGTCTACAAGCCTGCATCTTAAACCTGAGTAACAGAATCTTAAGTAGATTGTCCCCCTCCTTTGGAAAAGGGCATTTACTAAGATCTTATATGAATTAGGTTATTAAAATGGCATAGCTGAGATTTTCCTTTTATCATAAATTGCTGGATCCTTACCTGATCTGAAAAAAAGTAGACAATTATTGGGGCATTCTTTTATTTCCTGTTTATGTCTGTTATGTCTATTGCCTGATTTACACTATTGCCAGTTGTCACAGGAACTTTTATGCATGGAAGGAAGAAGAACAAAGTTTTGCTTTGCCTTTGCTCTTCTGGCCCTACCCAAGTTTGGATTTAGAGCTTGGTGAACAGGCTTGCCTCACTCTGTTCTGGCTGGCGAATCCCCAGGAGCCACCATGGCGTGCCCACTGTCTCCCTGGGCAGTGTGCTGACTCTCCTATCCTCCATGCAAATAGAATTCAGGTTCTAGAATTAGGTGGCCTGCACAAGAGGGAGGATGCTCTTCTCTCCCCAAAGCAGCGACTCACTGTTGCCCATCTGCTGTGGCTTCTGCAGGTCCATGTGTCCTAAACACACAGACCAGAGCTTGCAGTGATAGCATCCAGCAGAGGCTGAAGTGTAGGCGCCCTTTTCTACCCTGTCCCCCTGTTTCTACCCTGTCTCCCTAATGTGATCATCCTCAGACCCAAGGCAAGAGGAAAAGCAGGTGGCAAGAGGCTGTTCTGTTCTGACGGCTCATAATTAGTATCTTGAGTCCCTAACTGTAGCAAATACCTTACATGTCACATATTGCCTTTTTTTAAACCAAGGAGCATAAAGTGCTTAATAGATACTGATTAATGCTCTTCCAGATCCTTCCAGATTAGCACGAGACACTGGAATCCCCATTAAATAAAAGGAAGCATGACTGCCTCTGCCGCATGCCCCAGTTCATTGGGTGAGCTGCTTTGGCTGTGCAGATGGAATTTCACTCTGCCTTACTGGGTTGTGTTGCATCAACCCTCATTGTGGTACAGGAAAAAGCCCTCTACAAGACTGCATTTTCACTCTCCTTGGCTTCCTTGTATAGCTAACTGTACAAAACGGATAATGCAAAAAGTTAAGTGTCTATATGTTAATACCTAATATAGAATCTGACGTTTTAAAACGTGACTTTGAGCCCACTAGTAGGCAGCCCTAACTGTCCACCGATCTTAGCTTCTTATGAACAACGAGCTTCATGCCCCACAGCCAGCCCAGCTCGGGCTGAGTTCCCACCGGAAGAACCACCACTGTGGGCTTCGAGGCAAGCCCACCCTCGGTGCTGTCAATCAGAGCATGCCCTGTGCAGGGACGGTACAGCACAGGCCCACAGGGAGACTTGTAAGATGTGCTTTAGTTCCCCTGTCTATCCTGTCCACTCCCGTGGTCAGGACTGGGGAACTAGCCATAGTGTTGCAGAGAGCCCTCCCCCAGCCCACCCCACGTGAGGCATCTCAGTCTTTCCCAGGCCAACTCAGGTTTCCTCTCCTTTCTTGCTCTTCTCCTTAGATGTCTTACACTCCTGGCCAGCGCATGATCCTTGGTTGCCCTTGTTCCAGGGTTCTCCTGAGTTCTGATCTGTGTGCTCAGAGGCTTCGGGAGTTGGAGCAGGTGAGTCATTGGGCTTACCAAGGGTTTCTTTACTACAGTGAGTCAGATGAAAACTGAGCAGTAGTGTTCTTCACTTGTCACTATTTCCCTATCTGGGGTTACATTCTTGTTAGTAAAAAAAAAAAAGCAATATTAAAATTAAGTCACAAAAAGCAGCTGCCTCTGCTCCCTGCAAAGATAAAGGTGTAAACTCATAGATGCGTAATACTGTCAAAAGCTAGTTTTCTGGGGTGTAAATACACTTGTATTCTGAAAATAGGGCTTGTGTTGAGCCTTAGGCAGGTGGGGTGGAGTACAAGACCGCTGAGTTGTAGTCTGGGGGTGGAGGGCAGCATAAATCCTCCTTTCCTAGCTCCAAGTTGTCATGCACAGATCTGATGTGGCCACAGCTGGAAAAGCAAAAACTGGGCCCGATGGCATCGGAAAGCCCCGACTCCTTACTTTTACTGGTGACGCGCAAGCTAAAGAGAGAAAAGAAAAACAATCAGATGTGCAGAATGGGTTTCCCAAAAGCAAAGAGTAAAACCCTCTCTTACTGGGGTGTTTGTCAATACCTGTCCGAGAGTTAATGGGCAGAGAGCCTTATCTCAGTCCCCGTCACACTGTCTTTGTTTTAAAATTGTACACTGCCTGCCTCATACCAGCTTGGTGTTACTGGGCAGATAGAGGCATGCCGGTGGCTGGGGGTGGAATATATAATTAGATAATACAAACCCATAATTCCAGGTGGAAAAATAACAAGTATATAGCCTCCTCCCCCAACTCTTGGGTCAAGTAGCTTGCATGTCAGCTAAAAAACATCCCCTGTCCCCTCTCCACCAAATGTCCATGTCAAATCCCAGAAACATGGAAATTTCATCTTACATGGCAAAAGGTATGATTAAACTAAAAAGGAGGAACTTATGTTGAATATCTAAATGTGCCCCCAGATGCAATCGTGGGAGGCAGAGGGAGGCTCGTGACCATGCTTAGACTGAGATGGCCTCAATGGAGCTGAGATGCAGCCACAACCAAAGAACACCCGGAGCTCTCAGAGCTGGGACAGGAAAGGAGTGGATTCCTGTTCGGAGACTCTGAAAGGAACAAGGATCTACTGACACACCTTGGCTCTAGACTTCTGGCCTCCAGAACTTTGAGCGGATAAACTCTTCTTTATGTAAGTCACCACATCGGTGGTAACTTATTACAACAGCCTCAAGAATTTAAGAGCCTTACACACAAAGGTTAATTCCGTTGTGTCCCTGTCATACTTGTGTTCTAGAAGGAAAGCTTTTTAAGTTACAGATCTCTGTTTTACCAGTGTTTACTAGTGAGCCTCTAGGGTGGGTTCTGTATGTTACATCTGGACTCAGAGACATGAGAGAGAAGAGTTCCTCCTGTTCACTCATACTCAGTTGATTTTGTTTGTTTAAAAGCAGCTGGGAGAGGGTTGGGGATATAGCTAAGTGGCACAGTGCCTGCTTGGCAAGCGCAAGGTCCTGAGTTCCATTGCTGGTACTACCCCCTCCGCAAAAGAAGGTAGCTGGGAGGGAGGAGAGAACTTTGTGAACCACACTGGGCCGATGGGTCTGGCACCTTCATGTTCTTTTAGTCTCAGAATAGAGGATACAATTTATAGTTTCAACAGGGATCAGGAAAAAAGTAGTCACCCATTTTCTGACATGCATTTATCCTAGGTTCTCCTTTTATCTGTCCTTCATTGGATTCTCTGACCTGCTGTCTTAGTCTAGTGCCGTTCTTGTGTTCATATGAAAAGTAAACAATCATGTGGATGTTTGCCCATCTTGCTGGTTGACCAGAAGGTTGAGTATGTCACTTCCTGGAAGGATTTGGACCATTCTGTGATATAGATCATGGTTCAATAAACTGCAGCCCAGAGGCAGACCGTCTGTCTCTCTTTAATGAGAGTTCCATTAGGTATAATTTATATCCTACACAGTTCATTTATTTGAAGTGTACCAGTCAGTGGTTTTTAGTATTGCTGTAGTTTGTGTGTTCATGGTTCCCACAGGCCTATCTATAAAGGCCTGGTCCCCAGGGTATACTCATGGGAGCAACTTCCAGGAGGTGTGGCCTACCGGGAGCCCCTTAGGTCACGGAGTGTGTGCCCTTAAAGGGGGCCGCAGGATCCCAGCCCCTTCCTCTTTATTTCCTGGCCATGAGGTGACCATCACATGCTCCCCACGATTGCCATCTGATACCTCAGTGAAAGCCTCAAAGCAAACAGGTGTGCCTAGTCTTGGACTGCAATTTCTAAAACTGTGAGCCAAAAATACCCTTTTCTTTCTATAAATTAATGACCTTAAGTACTTCATTATAGTAGTGAATTCTTAGACATATACACATTAGGGGCTGGGGATTTAGCTCAGCGGCATAAGCACCTGCCTTGCAAGCACGTGGTCATGAGTTTGATCCCTGGTACCGATAAAAAAAAAGAAAAATAAATAAATATACACATTAATTGTACAACCATCACCACAATTTTGTAATTTTTAAAACCATACCTATCTTCCTCCTATGACCCCAGCCCAAGGCAACCAGTGTCTCTCTGATTGGCCTATTCTGGAGATTTTATAATGAAAGAACCATATAATATATGATACTTTATGGATATCTTTTACTTAGCATAGTATTTTAGGGCTTATCCATGTTACACTGTACTTCATACCTGTTATTGACAAATACTACTTTTTTGTACCAATATACCCCCTCCTATTACCCTTTCATCAACCATTGGACATCTGGGGTGTTTCTACTTTTGGCTGTTAGGAACAGTGCTCTGAAGAACATTTGTATGCCAGTTTCTGTGTGAACATAAGTTTTTATTTTTCTTGGATGTACACTTACAGATGGAATTACTACTAGGTTACTGATACTGGTTAAACTTTTGAGCAACTGTTAGCCTGCTCTCCAAAGTGACCATACCATTTATATTTCTACCAGCAGTGTGTGAAAGTCCCGATTTCTCCTGTTGCTCACCGACAGGCTTTCTGCTTCTGCCTGTCCTCGTGCGTGTACAGAGGTGTCCCATGATGGTTTTTTGATTTGCATTACTCTGATGACGAAAGATGCTGTGCATCTTTTCATGTACTTTTGGACTGTGTACCTGTTCATGTTTAGAGAAACGTGGCCATGCTTATTTCCTTGTGTGTCATCTATGGCTGCTTTTATCCAGAGACAAGAAAGGTAGGCATTTGAACCAGGAAAGGAAGGAATATCTAATAGGCCTAGCCTTACCCAGTGTGGCACTAGCCTTAGGTGGAGAGCAGCAAAGAGAAGCCAAGGCCAATGGGATTTAAAAAAAGAACCCAACTCTGACAGCAGTGAACAGTGTGGAGGCATCAGCTGATTAAACCAGGTGTTTGGGGAGAAATCTTCAAATGAGAAAGGGTAATAGGACCCACAGGAAGCAGCAGGTCCTTCATTTAAAGAGCTGGATTCTTGAGGCGGCATGCCTTAGGTCTGATAGTACTGGGAGTCCTCTAAATAAAACCTGTCGGCCCAGGGCACCATGCTGGGAGCACTGTTTTGGGCTCCTATGAGCTGGTCTCCATCTGCACCTGCCAGGGTGGGCTTACCAGGCATCCTTCCACTGAGGCTCTGTGCAGCCTGTATTTGCAGCAATTTTCTGCATGATTTTCCCTCTCAAACCCGGGATCGTGGTGTGCATTTTATGCCCCCTTTCTTGCCCTTGGGGAATAAAAGTGCTTTTCTTCTTATGTGTGAACAGCATAGTTCAGAAGGGCAAGCAGCCCTTAAATATCCCTCTTCCAACCCCCCAAGCCATCTTCCCCCACACTCCCGCACCACCCTGCGCGAGCCGATGACGGAAACGGCACTGCTTGCTTACTCAATCTTTAGCGAGGACTTGGGTTTGCTTGCAGTCCAGGTGAAGCGCTTCAGCAAGGGGGAGGCCAACAGGGTGCTGCTGTCCAGCCGATAATCCTGGTGGAGAAAGGAGAGGTTATGTGCTGGCCTGGCCCAGAGGGGCCGTGCGTCACCCAGGCACTGCTCTCTTCCTTTTCGGTGCCTGCCTACAGATACAGAGCATTTGCTTTATAGCTTGGTCAGTTACAAGTACTGCCTACTCCTGGTGATTTTGAGGCCCTTCTTCCTGAAGGCTAAGTACATTTAAACAGAGATAGCTTCGGGAAACAGAGAGCCCTTGTAAATAATACACTTTTATACAAATTATTGCACCGGTACGTGGAAACGAATTTTGGCAGATGAGGACTGGCTAGTGGATATGTGGTCATTTGGTAGCCAGGATATATAAAAGTCCTGAGGAATTAAGAAGACATGGTTCTTTTCTTTTTCTTGAAGATTCTATGGAATTTTGAGGCCACCCCTTGGTCATGTTTTCCAGCAATCACGTCTTGGTTGAGTCATCTTTACCACTAAGTTTTATGTCAACTCTTCGTTACTGTAAATTCAGCATGTTTCTGTAAGCAGATTTCATACCAAAGTATGCTTCCCTTGGAGGCTCTGACTGGGCTGGACTCACTTTTTAATTATTAGCAAGCACGTTAGCAAATGAGAAAGCTGTCATAATTTACCGCCTTTTTAGCTTATTGTTAAGGCTGTGGAATCCTCAATATTGTTTCTTAGACTTGAACCAGTGTACCACTAAGCAGCAAAACAAAATTTCTACTTTATCTCTGCATTCTGCAACTTATAATTTAAATGTATTTAAAGTATCATATCCCTCTGTCTGATGTGCCTATGAGAAGGTTCTGGTGGTTTTTAAAGTTAACTCTTCTTGTTTCAAGGCTATACTAATTGTAGTGATCACCCCTACATTGGAGTTGGTCCTCTAGGTCACCTCCATGACATGGTCATCACCAGCATTTAACTAAAGGGTACACAGGAATCCCCAGGGCATCTGTGACAAGGTGGTAACTGACTGGCTAGGTACGGGTGGGTACTTGTTTCTGACCTGCGCCTGCATTGTGGTACCATACTTGTCTGGAAATCACACTTAGTACCAGTGTCTGCCATACCTAAAATGATTTCCTGCCCAGTCTTCCTCTCCCCTTCTTCCCTCAACCCTCCCCCCATTTAAAGCTTTAAAGAGAAGAGCAGGTGGAGGCTCCTGTTTGCCAGGCTGTGCTGATTCCTTTCTCCTGCAGTGTCTGAGCAAGGACACAGGTGTTCAGCCTGCAGCACCTCAAGGGGCAATGCCTAGAACCTAGGTGGGCTTGTGCCTCCAGGCTGCTACAGCACAGGGCCTCTGCTGCACCAAGAGGTGCAGAGCACTCCTCTGAACCAGGAGTGCTACTACTATTTTGGAAGCAGCTAGCATCAGGGACAACCAAGAAGCTCAAACTACACAGTGAAATTTCCTAAACTGAATTCCCACAGGCAAGGGGCAGGCCCCAACTAAATTTCCACAGGCAAGACGCAGGTCCTGGAGTAATCTTTGGCCATCTTCAGAGAGTGGAATTCCGCTTTCCAATGAGCTTTTCATAGCTAAATCTGATTGTTGGTCCCCTTGACACTGTCACCACTGATTAATGGCTCTCACTGACCAAGAGCTACTCTAGGAGGTGGGGTTTGGAGTCAGCAAAACTGTTCTACCAAGGTGTGCTAAGAAGTTTAATGTCACGACTTACGTTAAACATGGAGGTGGTATTTGGTGAAAGTTCTTCAAAGGTTTTGATTCTTTCCAGACTCATGAATTTTAAAGCATTTACGTATCTAATGAAGAAGCAAGAAGAAGAATCATAACAGGAAAATAGATGCAGCGCTGATTAATGAGGAGAGCATCCACCCTGTATCCCAGGCTAAGAGGAACCACAATGCCAGTGGTCCTGTGGCTCATCCTTTGCATCATGTCCCTGGGCAACCCTCACAGTAATCCACTTTCGCACATGGTGTCAGTTCATAATCTACAGTTTTCAGCAACCACCACCCCCTGAAAAAATCCATTGTGAGCCATTTTGAAATCAGAAAATGCTGAGCCTACGAGAGACCTGCAGCATTATCTGACCTGAATGTTCTGTTACACAAAGGGGAAAAATGATGCTTATGTATCAAATGCTATGAACTTGTCACTTATAGCTGTCTACTTCCTGAAAGGGTGTAGGGTGACAAATAGAATGATCCATCAGGGTTCATAGCTGGCTTCAGTGCATGATTGAGTGCAAGAGCCACTCTCATATGTTCTGCCCTGTAAATACAGATCGGGAGAGTCCAGTCATAGCTGCATGATTTCTCTATCACCAACTGCTGATTTGCATTGATGACCTATCAGGAAGACTGTCAGGGCTATCCACTAGCTAACTGCTCACAGGCAGAACCACTACTTATCAGATTCCTCAGTCGGATAGTCATTGCCCTCTACAAGACTCAACTTCTTAGCTCAGTGGGCCGAGGCTAACACTGGGGAAGGGAGGCCATACTACTTTGACCTTTTGCTCCTCTCCCTCATCTCTAACCCAGCTGGGCCGTGCTAAGGTATTTGCTCCAAGTGAGTGTTTCTCTTTGAAAACAGATGAGCCATCTGCTTTGGCCTCCCCGGCTGGCTGTGAGCTGTGTGAGCAGTGACATCGACCAGTCACCCATCCCGGGTCTGGACTGACGGCTGAGTTCTTCAAAGCCTGTCCTGGGTGGCTATCGCTATATCCTGACTGTTGCAACTGTTCCCTGTGCCTGGGTGGCCGAACTGAAGTCAAGGCCCCAAGGCTGCTGATAAGCAAGGTGAAAGGCCCCCAGGACAGTCTGAAAAGGGCCTAGTAGGGTCAGCACTCCTGGTTTAGAAACTCTTGTGCCATTTTCTGGCCTCAAAGTTTTGATGACTTCACCTCTTTGAAGGCTGATATCTCCATTTGCCTAACAGAAGTAATATGCATACCACAGGATTGTTCTGAGCATAAAACCAGCTGATTCACGCAGACAGCTTAGTGCAGCATGGGGCCACAGACTGGACGCGTTTAATACGTGTGTAACTATGGGCACAGCTCACTAGCTGCCTGAGGTTCTCAATAAATATTTCTTCCTTTGCCTTTTTCCGAGCTCCTTTATGATGAGGGAGGATGTATTAGTTTGGGGAGGGCAGTTCTGTTTGTGTGTGTAGCTTTAAAGTTTAATCAAAAAGTTAAGATCAAGGAAAGAAATGGAGGATAGCTTTGGAAGACTAAAGAAATGGAGGAAAAGGTATTGTTCTTGATTGGATCCTGCTTTTTAAAAGAAATGTATAAAATACACTTGAGAGAAATTATGAAAATTTGACTATGAGATGATAATATGAAATTTCTTTGATGTGATAATTTTTGGTGTGGTTATACAGAAAAGTTTACTTTTTATGAGGTATATACCGAAAAAGGTTTTTGAAGAAAAGGTTAGAATTCTGTAAGCCCTCTTTAAAATGGTTCAGAAAAAGACAAACTCCACGAAAATATAGAATATACAGATACAATAGCGCAAAATGTTAACAGTGGTTGAATTTAGGAGGTCAGCATATGGCTGATCATTACCCAATTCTCTTTTCCTTGTTCCTTTCCTCCCTGCTTTCCTCTCTCTCTTTTTCCCTCTCCCTCTTCCTCTCCCTTTCCTTCTCTCTCTACCTCTCTCCTCCGCTCTGTGTATGTGTGTGTGAGAACAACCTATAATAGAAAGATGGGAAAAGAAATCTTACCTGACATCATCCGAGCTTCCAGAATTAAATGTTGGAGCTGAAATACTATCCTTGAAAAAGTCTTCAGTGAAGGCCGGAGCTGAGTATGCAAACCCACTGTTTCCTGTCAGTATGGCGTTCAGTGGGATATAGTCCTTACCATCCTGAAATACCAAAGATGGAGTGCTAATTATAGAAATTTCTACTTCAATTTCCGTGGAGCATTATATCAACTTCAACTGTCATTTGCTCAAACTTGTGTTTTGTGAAGGTAACTCTGCACAACACACACACACACACACACACACACACACACACACACACACTTTATTGGTGATCGTCCCTACTAGTACCCTGAAAATTAACAAATCCCCTTGGCTTACATTCAAAGGCATGTGGTCTTTTTTTTTTTTTTTTACTTCCCGCTCCCCGGCATGTGGTCTTTGATAATTCTGCATAATTTCAGTTTTACCTGTTGCACATTGGCTTGAAGCAAATCACCTAGTTTTTCCACAAGTTCTGCAAATCGTGGCCTTTCCTTTGGGTCTTTGTGCCAGCAGTCCAACATGATCTGATAGCTGTTGGGGAGAAGCACATAGAAAGAGCTGGAGACTGCTAATATTTACACAGACTGGCCATGAAAAGTAAGGGTGTCAGCTTGCATATATATGGATCATGCTTTTGATGATACGGGCCACGGCTTCATTTTAGGTTTGGGTCTGTATCACCAACACAGAAGGGGCTGTTTGGGCCAAGTACTGCCAGTTATGGAAAACATAGTGCCCCCCCCCAGGTGGCTGAACAAAAAAGCCCTCCACAGCTCACAGACCCAAGACCTCTGGGTGCCTGTAGCTTCTGCAGAGTGGAAGGAATGAGTCCTGTGGTCCAGCAGAGGTGCTTGGAAAGGAAGTGGCACTGTCTGCTGCTGTTGTGTGTGAAAAGGAACATGATTCCACTCACTTTCAAAGCAGAACAGCGTCCTCAAAGTTAAGTACAGATGCAAAAAAGCAAGGGGCAGAGTTTGTGGTACTCATTTCATCCTTGGGTTGTTGTAAAGCAGGTTTGAGCTGGTTTTTCAAGAAGTTCATGGTATTTCTAAGACCTCACAGTTCCCTGGTTAGGCTGTGCAAATTAAGACAGGTGGAGAAGGCCCTGGGGACCTGACCCATGTCACTTCCCAAAGGAGAGGTCTACACAGTCAGATTAGGTCCTTGTTCCGTGTGCTCGGTTGCTGTGTGTGGCTGGTTGTTTTTTATTCAGCTTTTTTTTTTTTTTTTGTCTTTTTCCTTTTTATCGGTACCGGGAATCGAACTCATGACTGCCTGCTTGCAAAGCAGGCGCTTATGCACTTTATTCAGCATTTCTAAGCTCTAGCTCTTGCCTCCACTGAGGCAAAAGTATGGACTGGGCTTTCAGATCTGAAACATCTGTCTTAATATTACAGGGGCCAAATCTTGTCTTGGGATTCCAACATCAATAGGATTCCTCTTTGATGCTTCTTGTTATGGGTTGTATCCAAATGTCCCCCCAAAGCCTCATGCAGTCACAGCAAGAGCTTTTCAGAGAAGGCTGGATCTACAGTGTGTGTAATTATAAATCATTCCACTGATTGGTCTGACATAGTTCTGACCAATTAAGGGTGAGAGTGTACACCACCTTAGGGCAGGTAGCGTGCATAAAATACAAGGGGCAAAAAGAGGGCTGATGTGCTCTCGTCTGCCTATTTCTGTGGACTGTTGCTCTCTGCCATGCCCCTCTGCCCTGCTGCCCTTTCTTGGAGCCAGCCAATTACAGACTGAAATATCTACACAGTGTGAGCCAAATTAACCTTTCCTCCTATAACTTTAGGTGTTGAGTATTTTGCTTCAGCAAATATAAAAGTAAATAAAGACACTTCTGCTTTAAAAGGTATTGGGCACCCTTCTTGGTCATGTCTGCACAAAGTGGAGGTCTATACCTATTCCTGTTCCTACAAAAAATGTGTCAGAGGTCGCCATACAGGGGATTAAGGACTCATTCTTTTTGGGTTGTTCATGCTGTTCATGGACATTGTCTCTTTTGGATATTCTGAAGAGCTTTTTGATCTGACTGAAACAGATCAAAATCTGATTAGACTAAGGCTTTGGGACTGGATCAGAATCAGCGAAGAATCACTAAGTGGCCTGGAACTCCTCTCCATACCCTTCACCCAGTGTAGGATCTGGCATGCCAGGACTCAGTGTCTGCTGATGGAAGTCACATCGGTCTCTGGGAAGAGAGCTCAGCTCCTTCCTGAATTCTTCAGCACTGCAGATGTTACTTGTAAGGGAGCTGGGTGAGGTTAGCAAAGGCTCGAGGCTCTGTGGCACACATCCTACCCTGCCTGCCAATTGTTAGATGGCTGGCTTCATATCACAGCCGCAACTCCTGATACTCCTATTTTATTCCAACCCATATACAGAAGCTGGCAAAGATGGTAAGACTATAGAAGGCTTAAGAAGAGAAGTAGCTGGAGGAAGATGAAGACAAGAAAAAAAAAGGAGATGCTATGGGTAAAGTTAACATGAAAAACTTGGTATCAGGATTCTGAGGACTTCCTTGACGTTAGCTGCTCGCTCCTTCCTGGCAGCTGGTAAAAAGGAGGAACAATCGATTTTATGATTTACACAAGACAGAAATTAGAACCCGCCAGTTGCTTGGCAGAAACACACGGCTGCTATTGGTAGCATCTGAACGGAGGTCCTCCAGATGGCTCAGCAGCATTGTCACCCATCAGGAAGTCATAACGTCATCGGCCTACTTTGTACCTTGTCTTTCAGTGTTGCCAAGCCTTCACAACAAAAAGTGTCATTCAGTAACTAATTCTGAGAGGCCAAGCAACATATCCCAGGTGAGTTTGTCCCAAGGTTCTGGTATAAACAAGGATACAATTCTAGATACCAAGGCTTCTAAGGCACCATATGGTCTCCAGACATCTTCCATGGCTCTAGTCTTTAAGAGAAAGCTTTCTGGTGGGATCTGGGCTTTAACTTCCGATAAGCACCTGACAAACATATGCCCTACATCTTTGATTAGGGGACAGGAGCTTGTAGAGATGGTACAAAGATAAGAGAATCAGCAATTCAGGCATCTGATCTTCATGACCCCTTTCCTTAATCCTGCTCCAAACCTGTGGGCTAAGACTCTTCTTAGAAGACAATTCCGGAGTTCTTTGTACCTGCTTCCCTCAATTCACAGAGACAGTGGCAGACATCAGCTGGTTCTGAGAGCCGTCAGGGTGATGCTTGGCCTTTGTCATCACTGCACTGGGCCACAGGTTATAGAAATTGAAGACAGGAAAGAGCGAGGGAACCCTAACTGTTAACTCTGGGCTTCTGTCCCTGCTTTCTGAGAAGGCAGAGGACGGCTGGTTCGGCATCCAAGCTACAACTACCCCTGAGAAGTAGTCCTGCTGACTAAAGCCTCGAGGCACTTGCTCTTGGGTGCTGCTAGAACTGGTCATCAGCCTTCCACAGCCAGCCTTCTAGCCACCAGTGGACAGAAACAACAGCAAGCCACATGGTCTGCACAATCCAACATGGATTTCATTGTAAGGTAAGTTTACACGTTTCCCTAATACACTGTAGGTACAAAAATATATATTCCAGAGACAGGTGTTCACCAGAGAAAGATATGAGGGGCCTCCCCAAGGTGGCCTGGCCATGGCAGCCCAGCTGCTTCTGCCTTACCACACACACAAGCCCCGGGCCTCAAGGCTTTAGTCTCCAGCAACAGACAAGCGTCTGGAGGCAGGTGCAAGGATGTTAAATGCACACCCAGATAATCTAAAAAAGGGGCAAAAGAGCTGGGACTGAAGCTCAGTGGGAGAGCACTTGCCTCTCATGAGCAAGGCCTGGGGTTTCATGCTCAACACCTTAAAAAATTAAAGCAGGGAAGGTGTGAATTGGGGAGCAGCAAGGAGTCTGTGCCTGGGGAGCAGGGAGCAGCTTCCCTCCAACAAAGGATCTGGGCTGCAATCCAGCAGCAGCAGCAGCTCAAGGTAAACAGAAGTGAGCAGCTATTTGGGAGGATGCCCTCTATCTCCTCAGAGGAAGCCAGCCACAGGGACCACCTGCAACCACCTGCTCTCTGCTAGTTTCATGTGTGGCTGCTGATTTCTGGAGTCTACTCCTCTGGGCTACAATGCAAGAGAATCAGCTCAGCAAACGTTCATTGCTTTTTCACTTTTTAAAAGGCATCTGATTAAACAGGTTCTGGACAAGGGAACAATGTCTTGACTCAGTGTTATGCAGGCTTCCACCACTGAACAGGTTTAATAATGTAAAGTGATGCCAGTTGCACCCGAGCTGACGTGAGGGAACCACGGTGGGAAGAGTTTCCTTTCCAAGCTATCACTCTGACTCCCAATGTGTACCACTTTAGCACAGGTCAGGTCACTGACTCCCAGTTCTGAGAAGCTGCACTTTTGTCCTCCCCAGACTTTCCTACTGATGAGCAAACACGGAGATACTTCCTCAGCTCTCAGAGCCAGCCTAAGCAGCTGGAGGCTCCAGTTCTCGCCTACAGAGGAAAACTTTCAAGATTTCTGATACTTATTTCTCTGCAGCTGAGGATCTGTTCACTTGAATGAGGCTCAGGGGTGGTTTGTGCAAAGACCTCCATGTTTGCTAAAATTCAGGGAAGGCTTTAGTCCAAAGCCCAGTGGCTTCATCTCTCCAGAGTTGTTTTAAATCAGAGCCTGGCTGAGAACTGCAGCTGCCCCTGGAGATGTCAGGAGGGTGTTGCTGACGACTCAGACCAAGTCATCTAACTGCTCAGCAGTGTGGCCTTGGCTGGCTCACTGCGGTGTTTGGTGTCTCAAGTGTTCTCATTGCAAAATAGAGCTTTACAGCATTCTCATCGGCGTCAGGTATATTACTATGCAATAAAGGGTCTGGCGCTGATGGGCACTAAATAACCGCTTAGTAAATAAATGCATGTAGAAATTACAATCATACTTAGTGATGATTTTCAGGTTCTATGAGAACTACAAGAACATAAGCATGGGGTATCAGAGAATCAGATCTTCTGGGGGATGCGGGGGAGAATCCTAACTTAACAACCTCTGCGTTCAGCCTGCGGGACTGGGTTCCAAATTTGTCTCCCCTGCCACTCTGCTGAGAGCTTTGTTCAGAGAGTCTTAGCTGTGATATTTGTTGGATTCAGACTGCAGTCGCACTGATGCTCAAGGCTGTGGGACTGTCACAAGAGACCCTGTTGGAGGGGGCTGGGGATTTAGCTCAGCGGCATAAGCGCCTGCCTTGCAAGCAGGCGGTCATGAGTTCGATCTCTGGTACCGATAAAAAAACAAAAAAGACCAAAAAAAAAAAAAAAAAAGAGACCCTCCACACGGGGAAGTGTGTGGAGAACTGTCAAGTGCAAAGCTGCCTCATTTCACACCACCCCTCTTGTGTGGCCCCTATCTTCAAGCTGAAGAAATCAAGCAAGTAAAAAGCCCTGAGGTCTGCAGCATTCTGCAGCCCTCACCCAGCTCTCAGAAAGAGGCCACACCACAGCTCCCTGGGCTTCCTTGAAGAGGACTGTATGCCAGAGGACAAGAACAGTCCCTGCCTGTGCCTGCCTGCAGGCTGTCCTGGCCACGCCTTGACTCCCGAGTCCTCTGTCCCACTCACCCAGCAGCTGCCTGGGGTCTGACCTAGCTTTGTCTTGAGATGCTGAAGGAAAGGCAGCGTGGCCTTTGGCCGGGCCCACACTTCCTTCACTGCCCCGGCTCCTCCTCAGAGGCCATCCTGGCCCCCGAGGACCCCATTGTGTGGGTGGGAGGGGGAGAGCTGCCCGCCAGTTCAGGAAAGGTGGTGCCTCTCAGCGAGGCCCAAGTCCTTGTCAGCAGCTCTGAGAACTGCAAGTGTCATCACATTCCTGCCTGAACCTCAGAGTGCAAAACACACACAGTGCCTCAGGAAGACAGTGGCCCGAGGAGGCGAGCAAGTGCGTTCACCCACGGAGAAGGACGGCCTGGCCGTGGGGAGGCACAGATGGCAGAGGGGGGAGGCACCTGAAGAAGCCATCTGCTTGGGGCATTTCCAGAGAGTAGCTGGTCCTGTTCCTAAAGGCCTCTGAGGGGGTACTGACTGCGTAAACTTCTGTGGCATGTGATCACAGCTCCAGCCAGGAAGTCCGCTGTGCCTTCCTCCTCTCCTGCCCTGTAGTCCAAACCAAGCCCAGGTGGTATGGCCCGGAGCGCTGATCAGTAGCACTGAGAGACCTCAGCCCCGGAGTGCTTTAGCTTATTAGACTCCCCCTGAGGAATGAGGCCAAGATCTTGCATTCAGTGCCTGGGCGGTCTGTTCCTTGTGCCAGGATTTAGACCTGGGAACTGAATCTTAACTCCAGCTCCCAGCAAGAGGCCTTGAAGAGTCATGTCAGTGGTCAGCAGAGGAAACAGGTAGGGGTGGACCAAGGACAACACATCCCACTGCAGGAAAACACTCCCAGCACAGCTGGGCCCAGCAGGCTGAGAGTGGAATCCCTGGAGAAAGGAGGTGCCTGCCTCTTCCAAGGCTGGGGTTTGCAGGTCAACACAGCCACCGCTGGAAGGGACCCTGGAGGGAGGCAGCTGGGCGGGGAGGAGCAGGACTCACATTTCAGGGGTTGCGTACTCAGGGGCCCTCATTCTCATGCCTTCCTTCAGACGACTGCAGAAGTCCTCATCCATCTGCACTCCTGGGTACGGAGACCCACCTGTGGGGGACAGCGTGGGAAAACAGGCAGGTTATGGTTTCCAGGTTCGCAAGACTGGGAGCAGTTCAGTGTTTGTTTCCTCCCTTTAAAGCAGTATTTTACTAATAAATCCCTAGTGACAAAGTGGACCTCAGAGTAGGTCCACCCGCAGAGGAGCTCATGAGTCCTTGCCAGGGATGCACACTCGGATGGCCGGTCCTGCATGGTTGGGTCACTAGTGACCGAAGGCCAGGCCCAAGTCTGACTGCAGGGAAAGGGGCAATCTAAAGGGTCCCCACCTTGTCCCTTAAAGGAGCTCTAAGGAAAACCCGTCCTTAGAGATTCATCGCTTGGGTTAAAGATCTCTTTTTATTTTTTATTATTATTATTTTATCGGTGCCAGAGATCGAACTCAAGACCATGGGCTTGCAAGGCAGGTGCTTATGCTGCTGAGCAAAATCCCTAGCCCAAGATCTCTTTTTAAAAAGCAGATGGAAGCCGTCCTGGGTGGTACACATCTATAATCCCAGCACTCTCAGAGGCTGAGGGAGGAGGATCCAGAGTTCAGTCCCATCAAAGCAATTTAAAGACATTTACCTCAAAAGTAAAAAAAAAGTGGGGGGAGGAGAGTGGAGACTTGGCTCAGGGGTAGAATGCCCATGGGCTAGAGCCCCTAACACTGCAAAAAAATTAAAATGAAGTCTAAAATAAAGCCCAAGGGCTGGGGCAAGGCTTCTTGTAGCTCACTGGTACTTCAGTGAGGAGGATTCAGTTCTTGCAGTCCCCAGCCACTATGACAGGCCTAAGGGACAGGACAGGGTTGAATGGTGTGTGCCAGGGGCTGCCTGTGCTCGGGAGCCTACAGAGCAGAGGGGGCCAGAGGGCCCTCACTTTGCCCTTTGCCAGCCAGACCAGCTCCTGACTTCCCTGCGATTGCTGCTTATAGGGACATCCCTGACTGGCAGGGGCGGCGCTCACACCTGCTCCTCTCAGCCTGTACTTTCTAGTCATGGCTGCGGGTAGGAAACAGCTGGGACATGTGAATGCTGGCACTGTACTACTGTAGGGCCACTGTGGCCGCCAAGCTGCTTTCAAAGACTGGAAGCAACAGGTGCCTGTCCTCAAAAGCAGGGGAATGATTTTTGCACATTACAGGAAACCAGGGATGTTACTAGGTGACTTTTATTTGCTGTAAAAGTCAAACTTTTGGCAAAGCCCAGCAGACTCTTGGCTAGAATGCACGTTCGGGAGGCCGTATATTGTCACTGTTTTCTGTGAGGAGATGTGGTCTGCTGTGTGCACAGCTCTGAGGGCAGGGCCTTGAGCCAGGCTTCTAGAAACCCACCATGCACAGTGCTGTGGGCAGGATCACCCGTGCAAATGAGTGTGCTGACTGTCATGATGTGCTAATGTCAGAGGCGGGCGTCTGACACCCTTCCCACCCTCAAATTTACCTAGAGAGAAGATTTCCCACAGCAACACCCCATAGGACCACACGTCACTCTTGGTGCTATAGATCTTGTCAAAGATGGATTCAGGAGCCATCCATTTCAGAGGAAGTCGAGTCTAGAAGAGGGCAAAGGTGCCTTGAGCAGAAAATAAAACACACCCGATCCCAGTGCCTGCGGGTCACCTATCCCATGACACATGGCCCAGCATGCTTCTTTAGAGCAGCTACGGTTTCCTGACTCGTAGGACATGGAGTGTCCTTCAGGAGAGCACCATGCGCCACACTGACCCTCCAGTGGCAGTGCATGGTTAGGGTACCCCTCCAGGGTACCCCGTATATCCTAACTCCATAGCTCAGAAACAAATCTTCACCTCGAAAAAGCCTAAATTTCATAGGAGCACTTAGGGCTAGGGAGGGACCTGAATTAGTAGACATCTAGAAATTGGTGGTAACTTCACAAAATTTTTCCTAAGAATTTTGAGACATTCTTAAAGAAGACAGAATTTTAAGTTACTGTTTGGGAAAAAAGGGTGTAACTTCACGGGAGAACACATGCCCAGCTCAGAAGGCCCCCAGTTCCTTGTCCAGTAACCCTACCCCCACCCCATTTATTGACTAGGGCAGGCAAAGGATCAGAAAGGAACAGATTCAGGATGTGTGCACGTTTAAGTGTATAGCACCTAGGGGAGGATAGGTCTGGTTTTCATAGAGACAAAGTGTACTTTTCCTCCAGATAGCAGGAAGCTCAGTGAGTTTGCTGGGAGCTGGGATGCGGACGGGCAGGAAATGTGGGGTAAGAGAGACAGAAGGAGAAAAAGGAAGGGGCAGAGGCAGGGAGTGGATGGGAGAGACAAATGGGTAGAAGCGGGGCAGACCAAAACAGGCAGATACCATCAGAGTGAACCAGGGCTCCAAGGAAAGTTTTGTGGGCTTTTTCCCCCTTTTATCAAAAATGACTGTGGAACAGCAGATCTTGAAGCCGTGTCTGGGGTTTCAGCCAAGACTTACTAAGTCGGGGAGGCTGGGGGCGGGAGGGGCGGGCAGCAGCGGACTGCACTTGGGGACCCTTCTGGGTGATGCTCAGGAAAGCTTAAGAAGTGCTGTGGAACAATCCTCAGAGCCCAGACACAAATGGATGCGTCGGGGTAGAGGCCAGAGCAAGAGGACACAGGAAGTCACCCACTAAGTGACAAATAACACTGTGTTCAAAAACAAAATGGGGAAGAGAGGCCAGCGTGAGCCAGCAGGGAGATGCTAGACAAGGAAAGCGCGCACAGAGGTAAACAATTTCCTCCCAGCAAGATAGTCCCCTTCCCCCTCCACCCTTTCCGGAGCTACGTGCACCTGTGCAATCAATCACCCGGGTTTATGTGAGGGACAGAGTCCAGGCTGTCCATGTCAGTGGCACAAGAACTCCCACAGGAGCACAGGGTAGGATACACTCTCCCCGGGCCCCACCGAACAGTCTCAGGCTAGCAAGTCAGGGGCACCAGTGCCCGAGGGACAGATACCAGGCCGGGGCTTGGAGAAAAACAACCAGGAGGCAGTGTCCTTTCTGAGGCCACAGAGGGCTGTCCACTAGAAATTCCTTGATTGCTTGTCTTCATGTCAGAGGTTTTGGGCACTACTGCTGACGAAATTAAAGTGATAGGGCACAAATGGGTCAAACAAATCCCAAGGTGACTTACATCTCCTTTTCTCACATAATCGGGGTTTTTATAAATATCCCGGGCCAGGCCAAAATCACAAATCTTCACCACATTGTTCTCAGATAGAAGGATGTTTCGCGCGGCCAGGTCTCGGTGAATGCACTATAATAAAACAGTTGCATAATCAACACGCTTCCTTAATCAAACCGACTAGTTTCCTGTGCCTGCTTGGTGTCATCGTTCTCAATTTGAGGACCCATTTCACATGCAGTGAAGGAAGTGACTCCCGTCACGCCTGGTGTTACCGTAAATGTGAAGCCCATCTTTAAAGACGTGGGTCCTTTGAGGCCCCAAAGTTCAGAAACGCTCTGAATCCCCCGGCCCCTGTTCTCCATGTGGCTTCCTGGTCAACCAAGTTGACAGTGTGAATTTCCCCATGGAGTAAAACTTCCCGGCGGTATTCTGAGGGGCAGCATCAGATGTCTGACCAGCAGAGGTTTTGTGGGAAGCCCACAGGAAGGTACTGACGGCTGTCCTGTAAATTCAGGTCCTCTAAGATTCCAGACTGTTTTAAAACATGCCGGAGGGCACTGTGGAGAAGGTTGCGGGGTTTGTCTAGTCCAGATCTGGTGAGATTCTCCTCTAGAATTAAGTGCTACCCACTGGTTCCCTGGGCTCATCATTCTGAAAGCTTGTCACACTTGGGCAAATTAAGGAACTTTTTGTGGCCATGTTTCAGTCCATGTTTAAAAACACAGGTAAATCCAACTACTAGGAAAAGTGGATTTAGAGCACAAGATTAGGTCTAGGTGAAAAGGAAAAACAGCAGAGGAAAGGATTCTGAAACTTTTGACCATACATGATACTATTTGAGAAAATTAATATGTATAAAACCTCATTTAAACATTATGCAATGTATGGGAACATACTCCATCACGTGTACAAATTTTAATGTATCAGTTAAAAGTAAGTGTTAGATATCAAACGAAAAATGTTAAAACCTCTCCTTATCCCTGATATTTTTTTTAAAAGAAGAAAAATAGTAAAGAGATAAGCTGACCTTTCTGGAAGACAAAAACTCCATGCCTCGGGCCACTTGAAAACTGTAAGAAATTAGATCTTCCATGGTGATGGGCTGCTTGTAGAAATCATCAGAATCTGCAAAGCATTAGAATCATAACTGTTTGTAATGGCTCTTGTTACCCCACCAAATCCCAGTTTATTGGAACAATATTAGCAAAACATAAAACAACCCAATAAATGGATCAGAATTTCTCTGCAAAAGCAGAGACAGCAGCCCATTGGATCCTAGCACTGGGGTGGGAGGCAGCGGGGTGGGGGGGACCTCTTAGGACAAAAAGACCCAGGGCGGGGGAAACAATCCACAGTTCCCTGTCAAAATTAGTAACTCTGTAAATAATCTTAATTCAAATCTTATCTCCGCAGGACATTACTCTTCAAGTCTCCCACGGATGTTTATTAGGGTGATAAATAAGAAAAAAATGTCTGAGATGCACAGTGTGTTGTAAAAATATCCCAGACTGTAGGACAGGAAGGAATTAATACCTACCCTCCTCTTCCTCCACATCACTCAGACTTTTATCTTCCTGAAACCCGGAGCTTGCAAAGCTCTCGCTGCTGGTGACGCTGTCTAGCCTGGGTTTCTTGTCCTGTTCCAGGCCTGGCTCGGAATTCTCTTTCTTAGGCTCCGTGTGTAACGCAGCATCCTTACAACAGACCGAGAAGGGCACGGGTGAAAGGGAGCCTGGCATGGGCATGCAGACCCTGGTCCCTACATGGACTTAGAGAGTGTTACTATACAAAATAGACCCTGGATCAGCAATGCGGTGCTAAGGGAGCCTGGCACCGGCTACTCCTGGGCTTGTGGAGAGTACACTGCTCTCCTGGACACCATCTTGAGTCAGACAGATGATGAACAGTAGCGGTCTATAAGCCTCCTAGCAATTCTACGGAGAAAAGGGGCCAGAGAGAGACTTAAAGTGTTGGGTCACGTATGGAGAGTTAACCGCAAAGCTGGTACCCAGAGTTGGCTGATTCCCGAGCTGTGTTCTGAACTACTTCTCTGTGCCACCTGTGAAAGATGACCTGACTCTGTCATCTTTCTGTCCTCGTTCAGATAGGTGAAAGAGATTCCCAGCACAGTCAGGGATTCACTCTGTGGTCCCTGTGGGAGGTTACAAGAGAAGGGCACAGTTACTGATTTCTTTGGTTTCTTTGGAGGAGGGAACCAGAAATTTCTTTCTTCTTCATTTTTTTTTCTCTTCTTTTCTACTCAAAATTGATATAGGTTGATCCTATCAAGAGTAGACAAGGCCTATCCTGGACTGGGCAGCTGCATTCTGGCATATATCCTGGGTCTTCTATTAGTGAACAAATCTCCTTACTTTTCTGGGTTTCCTTTCCCTCGTCTACACAGCTCTATCTGATTTTACAATGCACAGCAATAAGATAGGTTCTGGCCATTCATGTGCAATGATAAAAGATATTTATTGCCTTTAGTTATTCACCTAAGATCCTGGAAACTCAGCACACACAGGGGCTTTTAGGAATGGATCGCACACCTAGCCCGGACTCTGCCAGAGGCAGCTCCGACACGGGCTGCAGGGCCTTGGGGAGGTGGCGCCCCTGTCCACTTGTAGACCAGCAGGGTTAGCCGCAGTCAGCCTTCTCATCCCCTTGGCTTTCCTAGGAACGCCACGAAGCAGCAGTGATTCCTCCACCAGAGGGCACAGTGGGAGCAAGCAGAGGCTCGAGTGAAAGCCTCAGAAGAGACAGCCCTACCAAACCCAGGAGAATAGAGGTGAGCAATGTGCCTGCCCCAAAAGAGACCTTGCAGCATGGTGGATGGGAGGTGGGCCTCAGAACGAATGACCACCACCACCTGGACACTGCATTGTGCAGGGTCCCTCGGGCGTTCAGCTCTCCTAATCCAGTCCAGGATTTCCAGACTGGAGGGGTTATGCACTGCTCAGGCAACCACCCTTTCCTAAGAGCAGGTGAAGAATATAATTGTTATTGTGTTTCCATGAGGCAGTAGGGTTTGGTTCTGCTTAGCAGGAGATTGGAATTTTATTCTCCACAAGCCCCTTTCCACAACAGGAAACTTGGCAATGCTGGGGGGAGGAAAGTGCCGATCCCCACCCCTGGCTCCCTCAGGGCTCGGCACCCAGAAAACTCTCCAGGCAGCCACACCCTCAGAAGCTATACCTGGGACATGTCACCCACCTGGCCTTGCTGACTGCTCACCAATGTCTATTTATTTGGCTTTGCTTATCAGTAACCACCTCTATGAAATACAGGTTTCAGCAACACTGGTGGAACAGTGAATTTACTACAAGTAATATTTAAGGAGCCTGGCAAATTTATTTGGAAAAGCATACATTGTTTTTTTTTGTTTTTTTTTTTTTTACCGGTACCAGGGATCAAACTCACGACCGCCTGCTTGCAAGGCAGATGCTTATGCCGCTGAGCTAAATCCCCAGCCCCTATTTTTAAGTTAGCCTTTGGTTTTATACTTCTTTTTCTTTTCTTTCTATCTTTAGGTTCTAACTGGAAAAGTCAGCCATGGATTTTCCAGGAAAACCCAGCGCCATCAGTTTGCCCAGGGAGGAGAACCAGCAAACAGTGCCAGAGAAGGAAGCACATTCTTCAAAACAAAGAATGAATGAACCCGAAAGCTCCATTCTGCTCGAGTCCCTGGGGGTTCTACTGGCTTGGCTCCTCCTGAACCCTGCCCGGGACTCCAGGACCCGAAGGAATTTGCACTGCTTTTAGCCCAGGGCACCACGATTTTTTTTTTTTTTTTCTGATATTGCTTGTTTGTTTGTTTCCACCTTATCCAGTGTGGTGCCCAGGAAAACAATGAAAAGCAAGTAACGAGAACCGGATCTGGGCTGGGGAGGCTGCTCAGTGGTAGAGTGCTTCCTCACCTGTGCCAGGCCCTGAGTTCCAATCCTAGCACCACAAAAATGAAACAAAAGACGTAGGTCTTTCCCTTGGCTTCACTTATGGTAAATGAGTTTTTAAACAAATTGCTTAGTTTCTTTGAACACCTCTACAATCCGAGCATATGAATCAGTGGTGGTGACTCTTTGAGAGCTTTTAGTCTTAACAGCCAGCTGTCAAAGGTCCACCTCCACTGATTCCTAGCTGATCATGAAGACAGCTTTCAGCATCAAGGTTCCAAAGACTAGAGAGCCTGGTTTGAAATGGGAAATATATCCTTGCATTCACGTTCCAGTCTGTTCAACCAAGATGCCTACGTCTCCAGTTAAATGAAACCTTATGGGTGATAGTGGGCCAAGTCTCCAGTAGCTCTTTTTGTTTTTTTGTCTTGGAGACAGCGTCTCACTGTGTTGCCCAAACTGGTCTTGAACTCCTGGACTCAAACAATGTTCCCGTCTCAGTCTCCCAACTAACTGGCGCTGCAGGCATGGGTCATGACACTTGGCTGTGTCCAGTAGTTCTTGTTTGTGTGTGAAGACTCTTGCCAGTGTGATAGAGATGGGCATCGTTCTATGATACCTGAAATTTCATGCAGTATACAGAGCAGTAGCATTAAATTGGAGTCAACCAATGTTTGCGTTTTATTCCAGCAGTACCGGAGATCCAACCCAAAGCCTCATACACACAGGAAAGCCCACTGCCGGTAGCTACATCCCCAGGTCACACCCTGTCTTTGTGTCTCACTGGATCGCTACTGCTGCTACTGATTATGTTTATTGAGTGCTTACCTGAAAGATTTTGAATCTTCTAAAAATCCCATTACCCGGGCTCTATCATTAGCTCTGTTTAATACTGGAAATAATAAGACCTAGAGATTAACTTGCTCAAGACGCCAGGTTTTGTAAGAGAAAGACACAGGATTTAAATCCAGGAAGCCTGATTCTGAAGCCTGAATGCCTAACCTTTGCATCACACATTTTCATCACCACGATTGCCGATTGCTTGCTAATGATGTTCAAGTGTTGCCTCCTGGGTTTCTACTCAGAGAAGAGCCGGCACTGTCATCATCACATTGCAAAGTGTGAATTGTCAGTGCTCAGATCTTGGACACAGGTGTTTTGTTTTGTTTTGTTTTGCTTTGCTTTGTTTTTGCTGGTGGGAATAGAACTGAGGGCTTTCACATGCTGGGCAAGTGCTCGACCAATAAGCTGCACCCCCAGCTGCTAGGTACTCCTTTTATGACCTCTTACTTAGTGGATGCGGCTAATTCAGTCAGTTAAGGAAGTCACAGGTGTGGAGCGGGAGAAAGGGGGTAGGAAGTGAACAAAATCATTTCCAGCTCTGGTCCGACCACTGAGGACTACAAACAAATCACTCAGTTTATTGTATCCTTAATTTCCCTAATAAATGGACACAACTATGTCTGGCATCTTTCTTTCTTTCTTTCTTTCTTTCTTTTTTTTTTTTTTTTTTTTTTTTTTTTGTACTGGGAATCAAACTCAGGACTTTTACTTGTGAAGCAGGTGCTGTGTGCCACTGAGCTATGCCCCCAGCCCCCATCTTTTTTCGTGACATGACAGAGAGACTAAGATTATTTGGCAGTTATTTATGTAGGTGGCTAATTTAACTCCCATCATCAGCACATACACTGGGATAATTAAATCTTTGAGCTCCCCACAAAAAGAGTATGGCAGAGTACCATGGAAGGAAAACACAGAGAAGAAAGAGCAGAAATAAAGTTTTAAGTCAAACCATTAACGGAATGATTGATACAGGTTTCTCCTGTTTAGCCTAAATGGCAACCCACTACTGTCAAAGCAAACAACATATAAACTCCTCTTTTAAAATCCTTACCTTACTGAGAAAGAATAAGTCACGTTTGCTCTTAAGGTAGTTGGATAGATTCCCATATTTGCAATATTCAACAATCACCATCAGAGGCCCTACAGGGAAACAAAACAAAACAAAACAAAACAGCACATACTCAGCCGTGCCAGCTCAGCCAGCCAGTTGCCAGCCCTCAGCCAGCCAGAGAAACCTCAGACCAAGTGATCTTTATATTAGGAGAGCCTAGGAGCGCAACCTAGGGTGAAAGGCTGTGAATATGGTGATTTTTTTTTTTCAATTTAGTATGAGAAGGGATTTTAAAACTAGAAATGGAAAACGAAGATAGATGGAGAAGGGATGGTGCAGGGGCATGAGAAGAAGCGGAGAAATAAGCCCAAAAGAGAGGAGAAGACAGCCCAAAAGGCAGCCATCCTCTGCCCACCCCAGGTAGGCCCTGGCAAGAGGTCTCTGGTCACTGTCACACGGGCCTCGAAATCACTAAGCAGCTTCTCTCTGCCTCTCAGGTGGGAAAAGGGGTTATCTAGTCTGTCTCCCCACAGCATGCTGCCTGGCAGAGTCTGTGCAGTTTGCTGTGGGGCTTGTGAGAGCCAGTAAAGCTTTGTTTTACAGCAAATTTTTTGTAAAGAACCAGGTAGTAAATATTTTAGGGTTTGCAGACTGGCCAACTATTCAGGTTCTGTCTTAACAGACCTTGTTAATTCAACCGAAGAACATGACTGTGCTCCAACAAAATTTCAAGATCACAGAAATTTTTAATGTTTTATTTCTTGTCCCAACTAATTAAAAAGGTCAAAGCATTTAAGCCAACAGGCTAGTTAGTCATTGGCCGCCCCTGTGGCCAGCTGTCGAAAGCAAGGCCACCTGCACCGGGGCCAGGCCCAGGTGGTAACATGAAGACCTTGCTTTGCCCTGTACACTCCTGTGAACAGAAGGACACTCCTGCGGCTCAAAGCTGAAATGACCCGGGGCTGTGCCAGCAGACAGCACACTGGGAATCCGGCCCCAGGCCTCCAGGAAGAAAGCTTTCTGTGCTTCTTGGAGGCTCGCGGAGGCGGGAGCTCATCTCAGTAGAGTAGATTTCTATTACCACCAGGAACTGCTGGGTTTTAAATGTTTGTTAGGCATCCTTCTCTTCCCTTCAGGTTCTAGAAAAAAGCTGCTACCAGAGTTTTTTTTTTACCTCCCTAGTGAGGAGGTCCAGTGTCCACCCATGCCTGCTGGAGTCCAGCAGTCCTGTGCTCTCAGAAAGGGCTTCCATGCAGACCCCGGTGAGAGGTGAGTGAGCCTGTTAGCCTTGCTCAGTTTCACGGGTGCAGCTCCGTGGGAAACAGAACAAAGCTGCAGCAGCAGAAACTTCAGAAAATCTTATCAGATGATGATGGCGGAGTGCGGGGCTGTGTCTAGGTTCCTACGACTGTATTCCGGCCTCCCTAACCCTTAACTGCTCTTTATCCTACTACTCCTAGGAGGTGGGTCTCCCCTAAGGCACCTTGACCCCTACCTCCTTCATTGGGGCTTGGAGATATTTGTAAGTCCAGTTCCCTTGAGCCTTTCTTTTTGGCTCACAAAACAAATATACATCCACAGTCAAGCACTGCCCTGGCCACAGAGGCAAGGAGAGAGGTTTGCAAAAGCAAGCTGGAGCCTCAGTCATAAGTCACAGCCCCGGTCCTGTCCCTTGCCATCTGGGGTAGAGTCTGTCTGCACGATGGGTGTGGAGGGACTGGCCCTCTGTCCCCCACCTTACCACCTCCTAGTTCTCCATCTGTAATGATTCATAGGTAAATGTTCAAGGAATGTGCAACCTTTTACACTTTTAGTTACTCTCCTTTAAAGTTATCGAGAGGAAAATGCCTCCAACTGGCCCAGAGCTCACGGAAAGAGATCTAAAAGTAAGTCAGACTCTTCTGGGTCTTGAACCTTACCGGAAAGGTATTTGCAAGGTGGGTGCACCCTCCATAAATGTTTGTGGGGCTGCTGACAGCCCGTTTTCTCAGAGGTGAGGAGGAACGGGGGGGGGGGGTGGTGGAGAGAAGGAGCTACCCAAGAGCTCACCGCTTGGAGACGGAGCAGCCTCCCCTCCCTTACCTCCTTGCTTGGTGCAGGCTCCCAGCAGATTAACCACGTTTAGATGGTGTCCAATGTGGGTCAAGATCTTGAGCTCAGTCATCAGAGCTTTGTACTCATTGGCTGTGGCTCCCTCTGTGAGAGAAGTGAGGAAAAGTCAGGGCGACAGGACAATGGGCTCCCTCCACGGCAGGCAGGCGGCATTCCTGCCCTCCTTGTCAGTGCTCCACCGATTGCTTTATTAACTTCCTCGTATTCTGCAGAAAAGGCCAAATCTCCAGACTGTTTTCATTACTCCTACCTCCTGAGCCAACATCCTTTTGATTACAGTGAGGCCCAGTGTGGCGACAGGGTTACTCACTGAACATTTCCTCCTGGTGACCGGACCCAGTTTTGTTTAGCAATGTGCTGACTCAGAGTGGGTACCCAATGAGAGAGCCTTCTAAAGGTTCCCTCTGGAGCACGAACAGGTGCAGCAAGAACTCTGCGAGCAGCAGGTGCACCCACACTTCCCCTCTTTCTCCCTGCTTAGGGAGTCAGAGAAAGGGAGCGTGTGTGGCCTCCAAGCGCAGGCAGAATTTCTGTAATCATCTTTGCAGTGTGTTATTTTCTCCCTACACCCTTCCATTCCTGGAGGGTTATCTCGGGTTCTGAAGACATCTGACTTCAACTTCTTTCTTAGAGACGATGGGACATCAGTCCAAGCATTAGCAAAGTCTAGAGCCTAAGTTGAATTTGTCCTGTTTGTTCTTATTGGTTAATTTCTAAGGAATTTTTTGAAAAATTTACATGTATCTTTAGAAATATAAAAGTCACCAGGTGTGGTGGCTCATGCCTGTAATCCCAGCACTCCGGAGGCTGAGACAGGAGGATCGTTGCGAGTTCGAGACCAGCCTGGGCTACAAAGTGAGCTCAAGGCCAGCCTAGACTGCATAGTGAGACCCTGTCTCAAAAAAAAAAAAAAAAAAAAAAAAAAAGAAATAAAGTCATAGTGCAAAATATCCAACAATATGAGTTGGAATAAAAAGTAATGGAGAGGACCAGGAGATGGCTTGGTGACAGAATGTGTCTTTAGTCTGCACAAGGTCCAGGGTTCAATGCCCAGCACCAGAACACAGATTACACAAAAAGGATTTGGAGTTAGGGGATCAAAGTAAAGTATTAAGTCATTCCACCCCACTTCGATACCTAAAAGCAACCCCTTCAATGTTAGGGACTCAGACCCTTTTTATGCACTTGTAAACACCCAAAAAGGTCACATGTGGAGGGTTTACATAAATGGAATCATTTGTATGTTTAAAATTTGTCCTTTTCCACCTTTTATATATCAGACATTGCTTGTTACTTTTATTAACAGTGTTCCTGATATTTAGGCTGTCTGCGGTTTTTCGCTGTGATAGTCATACTGTCATAGAAAGTCTGTGTGTCACCTATGCAAGTGTTTCTGTAGGATCAGGTTCTGGAAGCGAGTTAAAGGTGCATACATTTAACCGTAGTGATATTGGTGTGATTGTCAGTGTGGCAGTTCATAAACCTTGCTGCCTTTCTGGGCGGAGCACAGGGGGACATGTAGTGCACAGAGCAGCACAGCCTGCCTGCCTCCTAGGCCTGCAGGTGGTAGCAATCGGGGACTCAGGAGCAGCTGATAGAGCAGATTTTCCTACTCTGTTCATGTCTGGGAAGGATTGTGAATCGTTTCCATGCAGCAGGCTACGCTCATGTTCAGGAGTTGGGGGCAATGATCAGTTTAAGGGGGCCAGGTCTCCGCAACCCCGCTTTTGTGCCACTGTAGCTTGAGAGAAAGAACAGTTTGCTCAAAGCTGGAAGACTCAGACAGCGGAGACCTCTGCTGTTCCTGCACTGAGAAGCTGTGTGGCTCTACAGGCAGCTGCGCCCCTCTGGGCCTTGTCCAGAGATAACACCCACCTCTCAAGGCAACTGAGGAAAAGATTTAAAAGAAGCACTTTTGGGTGGTCTGTGCTAATAGAGGTCCTAATCCCAGTGTGAGTTGGCCCTCCCTCCCAGTGTTGCGGAGCTGGAGCATCCTTCAGCACTAGAAAGATACAATTCAATGTTTTACTTGCTAAAAAGGAAATGTTTGTGGTTAGGACTTGCCAACATGGGACAGCTTAAAGCTCTAATCGAGTAAGTTCTGGCTTTATGTCAGGGCAAGCTCAAGCTAGACCTGCTGGTTCCTGACATGCAGCTGTTCCCAGGACACTGTGACAGTGCAGTTTGAATCCCCGTGTCAGGGGCTGCAAGTCCCTGGTACTCGTGCCTGAGATGTGAGAGGAGAAAGACTGTAGTGTGATGAGATTGCTTTCCCATCACCAGTTCTGGCTGGTGCGCCATGAACAAGGTACTCTGAGCTAGGGTGGGCTCAGTCTAAAAGCCCTGGAGCGGGGCAGCTTGCATCAGTGAGGAAATGGATGTGTCCAGAGCACAAACGGCTCCTGCTTAGTCCTAGGCTGTATTCAACTTGCACCAGTGTTTAGGGGCTTTGTGATGGTGACAGCCAAACCAGCATACAGACCTTTCAGCATCTTCACAGCCACAGTCCGGCAAGTGGGTGACTTCTTAATGCCAAAGGCTGACGCTTGAACCACTTTCCCAAAAGCTCCTCTTCCCAGAGATTTGCCTGCAAAGAAAAGACATTGATTTGTTTGCCAAACCAGCAGGGCGAGTTTGAATCTCTTTGCAGGAAGGAAATGCCTTTTCCTACTTGTTGTGTGAGGTCTGTAGCTTTGAATGGAATAGGAGACATAATAAGGGACACTTTTCTGGGGTCCCTTTCTTTCTTCTATCTCTGAGGCCCCCACATCCTTCAGTAGGTCCCTAGAAGGCATTCAGCAAGGTAAACGGCCATTTCCTTTTCATGGAGTCCTGAGGGGCAGTGGGTTGGGTGGTTTCTGCACATTCAATAACATCACCAAGAAGACACCTCTGACCTAAATCCCTTTTCTTGCCGAGTAAGGTTATTTCTTCTGTCTTCAGCAAAACGAGAGGAGTCAAGAATGGCAGTTACTATGCCAAGTTGTAATAATGTTTTGTAACTTAAGAAATAAACGCAAAGTCACTTTGCAGACTTCCTTGCCAGGCAGAATATTGTCTGGCAACTGTTCTCAGATTATATGATCGTTACTGATCCTCCTGGTTCAGTGCTGGAGCCCATCAGCCACTGGTAGTAATTTGCTTCAACTCCAGAGAGGCGGCTGCCCAATGCAATAACAAAGCAAGACTTCTTTCATGTACTCACTATGGAACCCTAGAATAGCTGTCACTGTGTTTCTGTCCACCCCAGCCCGCACCTTGAATAAGCCAAGTTGGGTTAAGGATACTGTTAGAATCTTCTTGATGTAGAGGAGGCCCCTGTATAGTTAGTGCAGAATAGAGAGTAGCATGTGAGAACCCACCAGGTGCCCAGAGACACTCTCAGACAGTCCTGGGTGCCTAGAGGGGCCCAAGAGAATGGGGAGCATGGACAGAAGAATCAGGGCCTTTGGGAAAGGCACCCCCTGGAATTCCTCAGCTCCCTTTCCAGTAGGGGGAACTTCAACACAGCAGGAGACAGAGCTAAACAGAACCAGGAAGGAGGGGCGGTTCAGCTTAGCTGTGTAAGCGCCTGCCCTGGCAAGCGTGAGGTTGTGAGTTTGATCCCTGGTACCAAAAAATAGAATCAGGAGAAACAATTGTCTCTAGCAAAGCTGTGCTGCAAAAAGAGTGAGCCAAAGAAATCACTCTTTTGGAACACTTCTGGGGGAAAATATAAGTAGTAAAATACCACTGATCAAAAGTAAATCTCGACAGTGAAAATGTTAACGCGACAGGAGCCCTTCTTTCCCAAACCGGTTCTCCTTGCTAGACTGCTTTGATAATGTGCTTTACTTAATTAACCTTCACCCTCCCTTTCTCCGTCATACTCCAGTCCCTTCCCCTAAAGAAGGACTCTATTGATGGATCTATTAACCTATCCATCCATAGATCTATATCTACATCTCAATATATGTTATCTTAGAATTTCTTATAAGGTTTGTAATAAAGCTTTTCTGTTTCCTTCTCATCCTGGAATCTTTTTTTTTTTTTTTTTTTTTTGGTCTTTTTCATTTTTATCGGTACCAGGGATCGAACTCATGACTGCCTGCTTGCAAGGCAGGCGCTTATGCTGCTGAGCTAAATCCCCAGCCCCCTCATCCTGGAATCTTTATCGCTTTATGTTAACTGCTCAGTGACTGCAATGTTTTCACTTAGGCTCTGCCTCATATCTTCTGCCTGCTACTCCAGACGTCCATCAGGACATGGGAACCCTTCAGTTGCCAGCCTAATCACAAGAGCTTCTGTGTGGCTACTTCTGCATTGTCACATAGGGGCAATGCTTTGATTTAGGAGGGGGACCCTGGTGACATGACATGTTTTTCCCCTGTCAAATGTGCCCCTGTGGAGACACCATGCCTCTCAGAGCACACAGCATGGGCAGAGATACAGTCTGACTCCTTTTTCCTGTAAAATGATTAGAACACAGCAGAATGGGATGTAAGTTCAAATGCATCCCTGAAAGTGTCCATGGAAATCGCATGGGTGCAGAGCCCTGGCAGAGAGTTTCTCCAGATGGGTAAACCTTGGTGCACCGGGGGTAGCCGTGTATTGCCTGCTTTACTTAGGCAGGGTGTTTTCCTCCTTGGCTGCCTTCCCCAATCAGATCCTCTGCACACACACCTAAGACTTGCTTGTCTGGGACGGGAAATCCTTCGCCTTCGCAGCCGTCACAACAACACACTTTTAACAAGCGTTTGGGGGCTCTGCCTCTGGGAGTGAGGATGCGCCGCTTTTCACTTGGCTCCTTCTGCCTTTTTCTTTCGTTCAGACCCTTGGAAGCTGCCTCCTGCAACAGCATGAAGCTATTACGGGCTCTTTCTTACGGGCTCTTTAATTCCTGCAGAGACCCAAGCTTCCAGTTTCAGGGAGCCCAACTGCACTGAACTTGACCTCATCTTTTCCCTTGAAACTCTCCTTTGTGCTGCCTGGAATGCTACGAACTAACCCAGAAGTGGATTAGGTCATTGTCGTATTATGCCGGGATATGGAATCTCCTCCAAGTATGTCCTGGACAGCCCAGGGTCTCTGGTGGCTTGGGAGAGTTCAGGGCAGCATGGACCGAGCCCTTCTCTAACACTGGGTGGGGTAGAGGTGGGGCTGAGGGTGGGGTGGGGACGTTTCTTGTCACCAGCTCAGGCACCATGCAAGTGTCAAATTCCTCACTCCCGCTGGGATTTCCCCTGTTAGGTAATTCCGCCTTTACGTTATTTTCCAACAGAGATGCAATGTCAGACAGTATTCCAGTTTCTGTGATAAATTTCTAGGAATGAATTCTCTCCCAGGGTTACTGAGGAATCATGAAAAAAAGACAGGGAGTTCTTTTGGTTCTGGATGTCAAGAATTTCAATGGTAGCAACAACTTCTGACCCAAGACTCAACTGTATTCATCTATTGGCTGCTATAAACTCTGCCATCTTTCCCCAGGGTTGCTAATAGGAACCTTGATCTGTGTGTTTCTCTAGGCTTCTAACCCCAGTGTAACTCTGCCCATCAAAACATCCGTTTAACTCCATGAGTCCGGATGGAGTTTTGGCTGCTTGCACTTGTTCAGCACGACTTCAGACTCCTTTGTCACATATTTGGCTTAGAAGACAAAGAAGCCTTAGGCCTCCTCCTTAACCAGAGGAGCATTCCAGGGCCTTGCAGCCACTCTGTGCACTGAACGACAAAGCTAACAGGTGTGACGCACTTTCTCTCACCTGGACTCCAGCCAGATCGGATCATGTGACAACTCCAGAAAGGGAAAGAATGATAAAAAGTCTCCAGACAGAACACACTGAAGCTGGGTGACGGGACGCTTCTGGGTCCCAGGGGAATTCTGGTAGATGGGTTAGCAACTGCCCCCAACGTGCTGGGGGTCACAGTGAAGCTGGGGAGGACAGAAAGCACAGGAGGGGAAGCTCATGCGTCCTGTCCACCATGAAGCACATTTGATTGTGATTGATAATTCTAGAAAGCAGCATGGCCTGAGAATGGCTCAAGCTTGTGGGAAAATGATCCCACGTTGCCTGCCAAGGTCACGGAGGGGCTGGGCTAGCTGCCATGTAATTTCGGTTTGCAGAAGGAACTCCTCCAGTGTGCCACCTGCCCTGAACGTCTCTAAATTTAGCTGATCTTTTCACCCATCAGCAGCCATGCTGGCTTTCTCCTGTCTCCCCACCTTGAAAGTGAGTCCCTAGGTTTCCTTCCAAGTCCAATAGAACCCGCTTCTGGTGCTGACCTTTCTCAGGGTGAGCAGATCCAAGAGGAAACGAGGAAAATCCCTTTGGCTCTCTCCCCCCTTTCCATATGGTTTGCCTTTGGGGGAGGCATTTTGCCGCTGGGTTCAGAACAGCAAGTTCTTTACCGAGAGTGACAAGCTCCAGGGACACTGGGCCCACTATCTGTTTTCCTAGTTTTGGCCACTAATGACTCTGGCATACCCCGGAGCCAGTGGAAAATTTTTAGAAGCCATAATCCAAACATTTTGGGTGGGAGTAATTGAGGCGCCAATTGTTTTGCAGCACCGCGGGCTGGAGGTGAACGCGCATTGTGACGTCAGAGCTTGGAGGTGCTGGGGGGAAGCTGGGGAAGGCACATTCCCTGCTTGTTTATATTGTTTGCTCCACCTGGAAAACAAGTCTCTGTTCTTCAAAAGTGAAACTTAAATGATCTCCTAGAGCTTTCTTCTCTGTTGGGACATTCCCAGCACCCCAGGAAACTCGGAGGATGTGATTTGTGGGTTTGGACAGAGGTTTTTTTTCCTTAGCCTTGAAGGGTACCAGCTCTTTCACCAAATTTTTGATTTTGCTGTTCCTCACCTTCCTGATTTACATTCAGGGTGCAGGAGCTAACTGCCCAGTAATTTCATTCCGGAAGAACGCCTGCCCATGTGAGCCTACTCTCTGCCTTCCTCCTCAGAGAGAGCTCCGAGGGAAGAGACCTTTGTATCCCCAGCGTTTAGATCGGTGCCTGCTGCTCAGAGACTCTGCTTGACAACTGTTGAGTGAAAACCCAAGTGTTTGCCACCTTGTCCTGCTGTGTCAGCATCCCGTTAGAATCCTTTACCTCTCTGCCCATCTCCAGTGCTCATTTTGAGGGTGACTGGGGATAGAATCCCAGGTCGGTTTGCACTGACACCTCTCAGAGTATTAGGTTTGTTGGTTTGGTTTGCTTTTGCATGCAGTAGATGTTGGACAGGTGTATGAGTCTTTCAGATCAATACATTACCCAGCTTGAGTCTGTCTCGGGCGAACTCCCATTTGCTGGCGTCGTAGGGGAGCCTGTCACATTGCTCATCCAGGGGGACTTCATCAGGGTCCATTATAATTGACAGGTAGTCGGTCTTTATTTCTGAAGAAGACTGAGAAAGAGATGTCAAAGTCACCATTGAGAACAGGACTTTAAAAAATTCCAGGGATTCAATTTAAAACCATGCTAGGCAACATCCACTGCCTTGGGTCATTTGGTTAGAACTCAGTGGTCAGGTGGAAGTGGAGCATTTCTTCACAAATGTCCCCGCATGCTCTCACTCCCTTGAGACAACTTGCTTTCCTCCACAGGCCATTGCTGCAGAATGAGCTCAGCTGTTCTAGCTTGATAAAATGCACTTAGATTCCCCAATGACCTTATGCTCATTCTGAAACAATTACGTGATAGTTTTTCTAGAAAATGCAAAGCATTTTTTAATACCCCAAATAGTAACTAAAAATAGCTTTCTGTGGCCATTCTGTACAAGCAGGAATATATATCACAGATGGACCAGCAATAGGACAGACAAGAAAGGCCAGAAGTATTAGAGCAAACCCAGGATCATAGGGCAATCAAAGTACATTTTCTGTTGTTTTGCGGTGCTGGGAATGCACCAGGGCTTTTGCACTGAACTATACACCCAGCCCTTTTTCTTTTTTGAGACAAGGTATCCCCAAGTTACCCAGTGGGTATTTGAACTTCTGATCCTCCTGCCTTGGCCTCCTAGAGTGCTAGAGTCACAGATGCTTGCCACCATGCCCTATAACTGGTTTACCTTCACTACGAAACAGAAGTTATTCAAAGTCCAAGGAGACATATAAGACGTACACACTACCACGTTCTCGAGTTCATTTGGCCACTGGGAAGGTGTCAAATGAGTAAGATAAAGTCTGGCTTGAAGGCTTGTTTCCTTGGTAATGTAAACCAAGCCTAGTAAATACCCTCTATGTCAGGTTATAGATAGCTGGATTTGCATGTTATATTAGACCCACAATGTGTATATTCCCTGTTAATGGGCAGACTTCTAGAACTGATGTCTGCATTTCTGTGGGCCCTCTTGTCGGACAGAAAGGAAACATCTTTCCCATCTAATTCTCTCCTACAAGTGATGTGAACCTCGTCTCAGTGAGGGTGAGGCCCTCCTTTCTGGAATTTTCCCTAACCTGAATCAGAGCTAAAGTAGGGAAGGCTGTCTTTCCATCCATACCATTTCACGCCTGCCATCTTCATCTGCCCGTAACACGCTGCTCTGGGCTATCATGGCTCACCTCATCCATCACTGGAAATCATTCTTATTCTACAAAATGATGAAGCCTCGTGTGATGGTTGATTGATTCTATTGCTTTGAGTAAGAGAAGCTCAACTAATTTGCTCAGCATTTCCATACTGGCTTTTCACCTGGACCTGGTATGGGGGAAGGGAAAGAGGCGGGACCTGCTCCTGCTTCCTCACAGGGGCGCCAGGCTTTGCCTTCACCTGGGACATCATTTCCTGACTTTTGTTGAGATCCTCAGCTTTCTGGCATAAACTCTTTAGTCTTTCACTGGGGACCCATCAACCCCAGTGACTCACAAGGGACACTGCAGTGAGCCCCAGACCTCCTGCAACCTCTGTTTCCAGTGTGCAGAGACCCCCGCACTCTTCCTCATCCAGCTCTGTGGGAGCCACCATCTCGTAAATTCTTACTTATCTTCTATCTTGTGTGATGTCTGTTTCTTTAGTAAATACTGACTGATACACCTAGCAGGGAGTGTCTAGGGTTTACACAGCATGTGTAGGGAGCATGGCAGTAGTGTGACAGAGACAGTGAGACAGGCAGGAGGCGGCAAGGTCACCATGGCATGTTATGGCTTACTGTCAGTAAGATAGACAAAGAAACACCACACGGATGTTAAGGTCTTTATGGGAAGAATGACAGTTGAGTGTTAGTTGACAAATACTTATTCTGAGATGACGTTAACCCTGAACAGTGACTCCACGCTTGGCGTGGAGACCAATGCCTGGACTTGTGTCACAGTCGGCCTTTGACCAGCCTCAATCTCGGCCAAGATGCTTAATCTTCTAAGTCCAGTTTCCTTATCTGGACAATAGTGATAATGATCAGACTTATCTCAGGATGGTTGTGAATATAAAGTAAAGTAATCCATGTCGAGCTATTGGAGCAGGACATGGTCAGTCATACACATCAGTGAATGACAGCTATGATTACAAAAAGGTTGTGAGCAAGCCAGTGATAAAAAGATAAAATGCAATCCATCAGTGAGGAACTTACGCTGTGATTAGAGAAACCACATGGCTTATTTTTTTCAGTGCTAGCGATGGAACCCAAGGAAGGGTTCCAAACCCTTTGAATAGAAGGCAAGTGTAGCACCACTGAACTGCACCCCTAGCTCCTCACCTGGCAGGAATCTTTGATATCTTCTTCCTTTTTGCCTCCCATGATCAAATTTTTTTAAAAAAATTATAGTATATGCTTGTTATATCTGTATATCCATCATGAGGAATTGATCTGTATACTTAGCCTATGATCAAATTTTAGAGGCGTTCTGCTGTTTATTTACTTTAAAAATTTTTTGAGACACATTCTTGCTGTCTGGCCCAGGCTGGCCTTGAACTTATGATCCTCCTTCCTCAGCCTCCCAAGTGCTGGGGATTACGTTCATGTACCACTCTGCCTGGCAAGACACTGTGTTTTTGAGATAATAATTTTATTCCTATCACCAGCATCTTAATGGAGTTTAGAAATAGAAGGCACTTAATTTGGTCTTAGTTTACCTTCATAGTCTGATTTCTACTCCAGTCCTACAGGCTGACTACCCAGACTGGTGTCCTACTCTGGGGTGTAGGAAGAAGCAAGATCAACTCTTTTGCTTTTCTTACAGCTTCAAAGTCTGCCTCAAGCGTTGTGTTCTCTGGAGTCTTTTCGCCCTTCTCCTTGGAACTCTTGTACCTTTATTCCTGTCTCACAGATCTGGCAAGCTCTGCTCTTGTTAGAGCTGTACCTCTAGATATCACATTGTCTCTCTCAAAACTATGGTGGGCTCTGTTTCCTCCTAAAGCAGTGGCCTTAACTGTCGTGTCTCAAATCAGTCATTGTATGGTAGGACTCCTCGTGTCACATACGCATCACGAGCCCTGCCTCCAATAACCAGTGCTGTCTTTACTGGTTTGGAGTATCGAGCATGAGATCAAAGAGCCAGGGTTTGAGATGAAGCCTCAGCTGTAATGACTTGAACAGTAACACCTCCCTGAGCCTCTGTTTCTCTCTCTTTAAAATGAAAATAATAATCTACCTATCCTTTGCATTTTGGGAGGGATTAGCCGAGATAGATACTCCATAAAAGGCTTCTGGTAAGAGCTGCACATTAATAAGTGCTAATCTCTCGAAATCGTGAGGGCTCCTGACCCTGTAAGGCCTGCATTTCAGTCTCTTGCACGTCTCTCAACTCTAGCCATTGAGTCGGCTCTAGATCACTTTCTGTTTGACCGTTATGACTCTTGGCAGGGCAGCACCCCGTTCACTCTGCCTCCTCTCTGGTCCACTCGCATAGCAGCCAAAATAAACTCTCCAGACACAGATGATGTCACACATCTACAGTCTCCACTTAACATCCCTCCCATCCCCGAGGCTTGCCTGGCTCTTGGAACAGACTCGTTCCTTCCGATGGCTAATGGGGCTGTGCCTTGCCAGGCTCTCGAGCCCGTCCTGGCTTTCCTGAGCAGTGTGACTTCATAGCGGCTGCTCGTGTCCCCATCGCAGCCCCATTGGCCTTGCGTTTCTCCTGCTCACTGTGTCACCCTGCCTGGCCCAGTCTCAGAAACGCGACTCCCTCTGTCCTCTAACTTCCTCCTCCTTCCTTGGCCTGGCCACCCTCTTGTACACCTTGTGGTTGGAGAATGCTTTTGGCTGACATAGAGTTGCAGGGTGACATCTGACCGTGTCACTACAAGTCTGTCTCCTCCCAGACTGCACACTTGGGCAAGCACACGCCACACTGAGAAGCTCGCAATAAGCCTCCAAGGCCTGACTGACTGACCGTTACCTTTCCACCAAATCTCTGTGCAGCCTTGTTAGAGAACTCCATGGTCCTGGGTTCCAACCAGGACCTCACACTGCTGACTATGCTCTGGGACCACTGTAATCCAGAGAGGACAGAGCAGCAGTGTCCTTATTTGTGTGCCTACAATCTGAGGAGAGCCACGTCGGAGGTGGCTCTATTATATTTTATCATCTTTTATCAGTTAGCAGAGAGCAAGGTTAAGGCTATGAAGACCTCGCAGAGCCCATGCTAAGTGTAAAGACTCTTTCAAGGTCGGGAGCGCAGCTCAGTGATGGGTACCCAGTTACAGGCACAAGGCCCGGCTTTGATCCCCAGCAAAGAAGAAAGACCACTACATAGTTTTTACATCAAAACACTCGCAGTTTCTCTGCCTCTGAGAATAGTCATCTGTTCATTGTCCCAGTGTCTCTTTTGCATACTTCACTTGTCATTAGAGGTGTTTTAATCTTGTTTTCCATGTTCTCTGGGTCAGGGAGACAGAGGAAAAGGAGGAGACAGAAGAGGTTCCTAGAGCTTGCTCTAAACACCAACTGGTAAATTCTGAATATTCTGTAAAAAGACACAAAGCGCTTCACCAGATTTAGTCTTACCCTTTTCAGTTTCCGGATAAAGAGAGTTAACAGGAGCCAAAAGAGGGTGGCGGCCACACAGGTGCAGGTCAGGGTGATCAGCTCCAGGTTAGACTTGTCTGAGGTTCCTGAGGAGAGAAAATCACCAAGATGCTGCTGAGGAGGAGCGTGAGATGCAGGGTGCTCCTGGTTCCCAGGTCCTGGGCCCCGTGCGGCCCATCCTGGAGGATGTGACCTGCCAGCCTGCAGAGCCTCACAAGCCCACCCAAGAAAGGCTTTCCGGAAGTTCCACTGTTGAGTTTGCAAATTTTGAAATCCCAGGGATGGCTAATTAAAAATCAAAGGGGAAATTAAAAATGGGGGAAAAAAAGAAGGCAGGAACAAAAGTCCATTAATGTGCTAAATCTGGAACATGCTAAATCCTCCTAATGCGTTTCAGAGGAAATTCTAAAGAAAAAGGAAAAAGTGACATAAAGAGCTCCTTTGGGACTCACAAAATTCTTCAAAGCAGACTTGAAAAATAAAAATAAAACTCAAGGACAGTCACAGTTTTGCCTGCTTGTTCTTTTTGAAAGAGCCACTCCAAACCACCCACAGTCCTCGGCTCTGGCCTCGCGGTCTCCATTTCTAACCTCGTCAGCAGCCAGAGTGTCGCCTGGGATGAGAAGAGATGAGTGCATGGCCTGGATCCCCCCAGTCACCTCATTTCCCAGGGTGACAGAGATCAAAGCAGAGCAAGGTTCCTCCCAGCTCCACCCCCTCTCCCAAAGGACCCTGAGCTCTTAAGGGACACCTCCAGAGAGGAAAGCCTTGGAATTCATAAAGGAAGCTTCAGAGGGCCAGAGCAGTAGAGTGTAATTTCCCAAGAAATCTGCAGTAATGCCCATAGCCTTTTACTTCACTAAAATGAGACAGGTTTACATTAAGGTAGGCCAAGAACAAGAGAAGCTTTTTCTTTCTCAGGACAATGATGTGGATGATGAGACCGTTGGTTGGAGACTCATACACCACTCACAACCACCCTCTGCAGCGGGTGGCAGTAATGTCTGGGTTTCCTAAGAGCTTTATCTTCTGGGCTCTGAGGCAGAGTCAGCTAGCAGCCAGGATGGGTGCTGGAGGAGGTGGGAAGAGGAGGAAGGGGAGTTGCTGCCTTCTAGAAGCCCGTTCAGACCTAAGCAAGAGACTGATGGCAAATGCAAAGTGGTTAGATTTAAGGAGAGCTTCTGAGGTTGAGGCATCTGGCGTCTTCTGGCAGAAGTGGCACTGGGAATGGAGTTTGGTCTGCAGCAAGGCTTGTACCGGCTGCAGGAACAGTGACGGGCACCAAAGGCAGTGTGAACCAGGGGCCAGGAGCAGGGCACAGGGTCTGGAGCAACTGCCTGGAGGCAGGAACTACATCATGGGCAGCTGGGGTCAGGGAATGTGCCCCACCCTGAGTCCTGGCAAACATACATGCTAGGAACCTGCAGATCACAAGACCGGGTATTCACAGTGCTTGCTGTCCTGTGGACTCTGCTGCTAAAGACTGAGCTGTATGCAGTCACCAGGACTCACACCTCCCCTAGGAGCTGGCTGGTTCCTGTCTGATGACTGAGAAACCGGAGACCCAGATGTGGAGCCTCCTGCCCAGAGTCACACAGTCTAGAGTGGTGGGGACACTGGGTGCCTGACAGTAGGCTTCCAAGGATGGGTCACACTGCCGTCGTATCTCCTCAGCCCTTAGCGTGCTTATTAACCTCTCAGAGGCCACATTCCTCATTGCAAAGTGTCCTGCATGGAGAGGAAACTGATGTTCATCCTCTGCCTGGTCCTTCACAGCATCTGCTTCCCCAGCTCATGCAGTTGTCACCTCCCCTAATGCACTGTCACTGCTGCCTGTCAGTTCTTAGCAAGGCTGCTGGGGTAGCCTGCTCCAACTTAATTCTACTGCCTCAGATGCAGCTTGTGCCCATTACTAAAAATCTAGATCCTGGGCTGGGGGTGCGTGGCTCAGTGGCAGAGGGTGTACTCGCAAGCTTGAGGCCCCCAGCACCACAGGGCAGCCCCGCATGGCCGAGGTGTGTGTGCTTAGCGTTGGCTCTCTCTTTCAGTCTCAGCTCAGGTACCATCAGAATACTTGCCATGTCCTAGACTCACCAGCCTTCCGCACATTCATGCTTTGGCTTTGCTGTTTCTCTACCAGAACGTGAGCCGAGGCAGCATCTTATTTATCTTATACCCCACTTCCCAGGCTGGGCAAATAGACAAATATATCTGCTCTGTTTGTCTCTGAACACTTTGATGAGGCTGTCGAGGAAGTCAGGGCATACCCTGTCCCTGTGTATTGGTCTAGTAACTGTGGACCACAACCCCGGTCCCAGATCTGACCCGGGCTGCTGTTTGGTGGTAAGAGGAAGGGTGGGGCTGGCGTCCACAGCCTGATACTCAGCTCTGAACTGCTGAATGTGCCAACCTTCTGGCGAAACAGCAGCAGGTGGGACTGTAGTGATTTTGTTTACGGCCACATCCCCTGTGCTCAGGAGCGCGTGGCATGTAAGAGATAACCGGGTAATAGTGGCCAAGTGAGTTGATGAATCTGGCTTCACTGTCTCCTTGGGCAGCTTGCAGTTAAGTTGCCCTCAATCTCATGAGCTTCAAAACAACTTCTTTAAAGAAATCTCAAAGTATGATACTATTTCCCGTCACTGCATCCTCACAGGGGCAACACTGTAAACTCAAGTTCATTTGAATGTGAATTTCTTTCAATGTGAATTTAAATACTACCTTACACACACACACACACACACACACACACACACACACACCCTTGCTTATGCTACAGTTTTGGGGAATTTGGTGGGCCTACTGAAGGCAGGGCACAGTGGCCTGTGGCTGTCACAGACACTGATAATATCTTGAGACGTAGCACTGTCAGCATGGAACCTCTGCAGACGCTTCCCACTCGGAATGTGCTGCCAGAGACCCTTTCTAGTTGTGGGAACTTTCTCACTGCATTCTGTGGGGGTAGGAAGCTGAGCCCCAAAATCTTAATTCCATAGTCCTTACTCAAGCAAAATTCCTTTCAATGGGACTGACTATATTTGCGTGTGAACACACACTTAACACATTTAAGGAATCCACTTATTAAAAAACACCTCTAACATAAACATTGATCAGGCAGGAAAGACCTATTTAATATTAATAATATAGACAGAAGTAGAATTTTACAATGGGTAATGTAGTATCCATGTTCCGTCTCGCTTGACATCTTTATCTCTGGTCTTGAAAAATAACTGTCAGGAAAGTCTAATGATGGATAGACTGATTTGAGCAAGCACATAGGTGTTTTCTCCAGGGTTAACTATCCACTGGTGTGAACAGACCAGCTTCAACTCACTGGTGATAGCTGATGAGCAGTGTATGAAATAGCTCAGCTGCACTTGGCAGAGCAAGAGGCCAGGGAAAATTTAAATTGGAATTCATAATAATTAGGAGCAAGAGCAGGGCATCAGGGTCAATCTCTTCCATATGACATATGTGAAAGGCCAGCCTCGGGACATGAACCAGGCTGTTTTCATTTGGGATGCTGACCAAAACGTGGCCGATGACAAAAGCATGGATAATTGCGTCTTTTTTGTTATTTATGTTTTGGTACAATGGATTTAACAGGACCTCAGCCATGTGAGGCAAGCACTTTGCCCCTGAGTGAGATCCCCACTGGGGCTTTTTTGTTGGTTTGCTTTACATTTTGACAATCTTCCTCAACTGTAATCTTCCTAAGTAGCAGGGATTATGGATGCGTGCAACCATGCCTACCTAACTATACTTTTGTGTCAGATACTGCCCCAGGCTTCACACCATCCCTCCTGGGAGAGCAAGGTCAGGAGACACGTGGGGTGGGCTGAGTTCTAGCGGCTGGTATGATTTGTTGAAGTTAGGGAGGTCGGCTTTTCTCAAAGCCTGTACTGTACCATTTGGTAGCAGCACGCTGGCTCTGGCATGTGACACTGCGTGCACCAGTCTGCTGGGACTGCAGCAACGGCACCATTCACCTCGCCTCCTGCACTGTCACAGCATCAAAATACACAGGGCACTTTGGCCTCAGTTCCTGGCTTGACTACGGATCAAGCACAGATTTCAGCAGGAGCTGGCCAGGAGCCATCCTGAACCCTAGAAGCAGCTACACTGTAGACCAAGAACTCTGCCTCAGTTTCCTTATCCTTAAAAAGTACAGGTTAGAGAAGCCCTTACCTCACAGGTCACCTGTGTAAACTAGGTGTTAGGGATTATTTTGAAGGCTTTCCCCCTGTCCCTGCCCCTCTCTTTCTATTTCTTATCACTTTTTGGACTGCCAGTGCAGGGCAGATTTTGTTTTCAGCCAAATATACTACATGTATCATAATTCGTCTTTTACACTTAAAATGAATCGGACTTTGACTCAAGTTGACTTTGACTCATTTTCTAGACACAATTGAACTACCACCCTCCCTGAGAAGTTTGCCTGGTGCCACAGGATGGTTTAGGTTTTATTCTTTGGTTCACTTGTTATTTTAGCTTGAAATAATCAATGAGGTGGGTTTATGACCTACTAAATTATTAGGACCTTAAGAGAAGGGCGTGTTCTTGTTCATTTTGTATTTCCACCATGGCTCAGAGCAAGTCTCAATAAAGTTTTAGGTATGGATGAAAAGAAAATTCTAGACCTGACTCTTAGCAGTCCTGATCAGCATGAGTTAATCAACCAATCCAACTCCTTCCATCTAAAACCCAGTGAGAAGTGATCTGTTTGACTTAGTATGTAGTTTCTCAAAAGCTTCTTGAAATATTAAAATTGGCTTGCAGATCTTTACAGCAATCTATGAAATGTTTTACGAATCTCTGTATACAAGTTTGGAACCACTCTTCATGACAATGACTTGTGAAAGTACTGTATTCAGGTTAAACTTGAAGTACAGATTTCCAGAATAATGTTAAGTTGAAGATACTTAAAAAGTTACTATTTGTGACATTAGTTCTATAACATTCACTTTTATGACAACAAGCTAAGCCTTAAGCCAAAGTGTTCCGTGGTTTGGAACACCATTGGGCGACTCACTGGGTATGTGTGGGAAAAGCATAAATACAGAGAACTTTGTTGAACTAGAACCTG